CCCCCCCCCCCCCCCCGAAGAAGTCTACCGCCCCCCGCCTCCCGAAGGAAATGAAATTTATATAGAAAACATATACTTTTACCAGTGTCCGCCCCCCCCCCCCTCCGAAAAATGTTGTCCGTGTGTTCCCAACCCCCCCCCCCCACTTAAAAAATATCAAGTACCACCCCAGAGAAAAAAAAGTCTGGAAGAAACACTGGTAGACATGAAAAGCCTATGCAATCATAGCTATGCAATCATACTAAAAAAATTGTATCTTTTAAAAAATATGGCAAGCGATAAAATTATAGTTACATTTGTAAAAATTAAAGCCGTTTGCGAACATCGGTTACACTCATTTTTATATTTCTGTATCGAATATAAGCCGTTGAAAAGCCGTTCTGAATTATTTTATCAATTCCAATATTTTCAAAAACTGCCCTCAACCTCTCCTTGAAGTCAACCGGAATGGCCAGGGAGAGTAAAACAATGAAAGTCAGAACAATTGTTTTGCATGATAAAAATACACATAAGTGATCTACGGTGAATAGCATAGTAATTGTATTTTGCTCTCTGGCGACACAAATTTGGAACCGTTTGGAAACAGCTTTTCAAGTCTATTCAATCTAGACAGAAGATTTTAAAAGAACGTATTTTCTTTTTCTTCGCATTTGTTTATAAAGTTGAACGGGATTTTCTCCATCACAATTAAGTATTATGTGTCAAACTTATTATTATTCGCCTTATGGTCCGTTGACTCTGATTTCAGCCGGCATTCCTTACTGGATTTGCTTCCATAGCCTTTGTCCATCGGAGAACAAACTACAAGGAAGCAGTGAAGGTTTGTTTGATTTTGGAGTTGTCTCTCCTAGATTGATTGCTGCCCGCAGCTTTCGACCCCATCTACCCGGGGATCAAAACTCGGGACTTTATAGTTTAGCAACCATGAGCTTTACCAGAGACGTAGCGACCCTTCCCGGTGCCCGGGGACAAACTTTTCGATTTGCACCCCCCCCCTCAAGATTTCGATTTGCACCCCACCCCCTCGAGATTTCGATTTGCACCCCCCCCTTCAAACTTTCGATGTGCACCACCCCCCATCGAGATTTCGATTTGCACCCCTCCCCCCCCTTTATTTTCGATTTGCACCACCCTCAACCGTTCAATTTATTTTACCAACCCATTTTGGCGCCCCCTAAGGTCGGCGCCCTGGGACATATGTCCCGCCCCCCCCCCCCCTAGCTACGCTACTGAGCTTTACCGACGTCTGTGTATCCGACAAAGCACAGTAAAAAAAAATTATAATTATATAATTAACACTTGCATTGTTTACAACCAGTGTTTGTTCACATCTCTTTTTTACGCGTTCTTCATTAAAACAAAACCCTAGCTAGATCATACACATGTGTCTAGTTTTAAAAATAAAATCAGTTAATCTTTGTATACTGTGTACCTTTTTCTTCCGATGTTATGTGTTTATAAGTTAGTATGTTAGTACATCTACAATCTTAACGTTCTAAACCACATTATCCTTGAAATATGTCGTGACAACAACAACAACAAAAATTACAAACTCTATTTTTATTATTCGTTCTGTTTGACCTTGTCTAAAAATACATTTTAATACAACTTCCTAATTGGTTACCGTCTACCCATGTCTTTTTTTTCTCCTCTAAACCAACTAAGGCGACATTGTAACAACAAAGAATAATTCAATTTCTAAAAAAAAAATCATTTCCGTTGGCCTTTAATGTTCTTTGGTTGTTTACAGTAATGTAAATTAGCATATATAAATTACCACATTCAGCTTCATAAGACACATGATAATTTAGAAATATAATCACATATTTCATCAGATTAAACAAAACAATCCCATGTTTTATTAGAAACAGCGAAACAGTGTCATCGCATTATTTTGGATCTAACAATCACATGTTTTATGGGATCAAATTAATATTCACACGATTCGTTAGAAACTGCTTAACAACAAAATTTAGTTAGACCAAGTCAAATCAGACCTAACTAAACAATCACACGCTTCATTCAAGCGTCAAAACATTTTGTACATTACACATAGCTAAACAAACACATATTTTATCAGACCTAACTAAACAATCACACGTTTCATTCAAGCTGTCAAAACTATTGTACATCATACATATACATAACTAAACAATCACATGTTTCATTCAAGCTGTCAAAACATTTTGTACATTATACATAGCTAAACAATCACATGTCTTATCAGACCTAACTAAACAATCACACGTTTCATTCAAGCGTCAAAACATTTTGTACATTATACATAGCTAAACAATCACATGTTTTATCAGACCTAACTAAACAATCACACGCTTCATTTAAGCTGTCAAAACTATTTGTACATTATACATAGCTAAACAATCACATGTTTTATCAGACCTAACTAAACAATCACACGTTTCATTTAAGCTGTCAAAACTATTTGTACATTATACATAGCTAAACAATCACATGTTTTATCAGACCTAACTAAACAATCACACGTTTCATTCAAGCGTCAAAACATTTTGTACATTATACATAGCTAAACAATCACATGTTTTATCAGACCTAACTAAACAATCACATGTTTTATCAGACCTAACTAAACAATCACATATTTATCAAGGCCGGTTGGTGCTGTGGAGTAAAAGAAGGTTGATAATTATACCCAGGCATACTATATATATATATATATATATATATATATATATATATATATATATATATATATATATATATATATTATATATATATATGCAGTATGTGTAGTACTAAAGTAGATTATAAAAAAACGTTGTTTTGGTAATTAACTTGGTTAAACATGTGTTTAAACATTCGCTGATATTAAAAAATGACGTCAGATTACAAGTCTACATGAAAGGTACGCGAGCGGCTGTTCGGTTTTTACTCCCGACTGGCCTACTATTTATTGAGCAGGCTTCAAGAGTTTTCTAATGATAACTTACTGCGGCTGTTCAGTTTTTACTCCTGACTGGCCTACTATTTATTGAGCAGGCTTCAAGAATTTTCTAATGATAACTTACTGCGGCTGTTCAGTTTTTTACTCCTGACTGGCCTACTATTTATTGAGCAGGCTTCAAGAGTTTTCTAATGATAACTTACTGCGGCTGTTCAGTTTTACTCCTGACTGGTCGTCAGCTTAAATGAAACTCTAAACCCTAGGTAGGCTCTGGTTTAAAACAGAAATGCTCTAAACGGTAAATCAGGAAGCTTGGAAAGCAAAAGAAATGCTCGATGAAACTAACTTGAAATTGTGATTCGACCACTACGCCGCCACCCCCCCCCCCCCCTCTCCCATCAGAAACAAAATAGCGCCCTGGTGAAAAGTGAAGAACCTTCTTTAGACATGGCGATCCCTCGGGCAGGTGAAGTCGAGTTGATGTGTTTCTCGAACCTCGGCATATGACGGTCAGCACTTTGCCTAGCCGTCTTTACTTTTCCCTAACATGAGTTCGGTACCCATTAGAAATTAGTGGTCTCAGGGACCTTCTACTGACCTAGACCCGGTTAAGCATTTCCGGTTAGCAGTCTAGCGCTCTACCGCTTAGGCCACGCCCTGGTTACTCTAAGCAAAACATATGAGGTTGTTTTTTTTTTTTGGGGGGGGGGGGGGTGTTATTGCACTCGCCGACCTCCCCTGTCTAAACAAAACCTGGCCACACCGAAATTACCGGGTACATTTGCAGCATCGAAGCTATCGGTGACTTCATAGGCGGTTTCCACGTGCTGTGTGACGATACGCCGAGGGTTTACTGTGTATCTGTAGGCTGCGAGGCGATACAACGATGTAGGAAACTTGGGACGACCTCTGTACTCCAAACGATTCTTGGCAAGTTGGCACCAGCAGGCGTCGGTCTGTGCAGTTACTTCACATAAGTCATGAAAACACATCCCCGGGTACACGCACATCCTGGAAGTAAAGACACATACACGTGTATATATATATATATATATATATATATATATATATATATATAATATATATATATATATATATATATATATATATATATATATATAATATATATATATATATATATATAATATATATATATATATATATATATATATATATATATATATATATATATATATATATATATATATATATAATATATATATTATAATATATATAATATATATATATATATATATATATATATATATATATATATATATATATATATATAGACATATATAAAATATATATATATATAAAATATATAAATATATATATATATATAATATATATATATATATATATATATATATATATATATATATATGTGTGTGTATATATATGTGTATATATATATATATATATATATATATATATATATATATATATATATATAGGCTATTAATGTCAAAATGAAGCAGTTTGTCTCTTTGAAACGGCCATATTTTCCGGTCCCTTCAGCAGTGTTTCTTCCAGACTTTTTTCTCCCGGGGGGACTAAAATTTTCGGGGGGCGGACACTTTTAAAAGTATATATTTTCAATATAAATATAGACTCCCCCCCCCCCCCTCCCTGGAGAGTTGCCCTGGAAGAAACTTTGCTCTTAAGTGTAACTTATAATCCTTTATAAAGCCTTTATATATATATATATATATATATATATATATATATATATATATATATATATATATATATATATATATATATATATATATACATATATATATATATATATATATATATATATATATATATATATATATATATATATAAAGGCTACTATTTTCACAATAAAGCCGTCTGTTTCTTTAAAACGCCCATATTTTCCGCCTCTTTCAGTGTCGCTTATAATCCTATCTTCTAAAATTTCTACGGATGTTTACCCGACTTGACTTGGGTAAGCCAACAATTCCTCCTTAGATCGCGTACAATCAACAAATCCCCTTCACTCAAAAACATATAAATATGTATAGCCTTTTACATACATCACCTAAACAGCACCTTGAACCCCACTCACTTTTTGCCAATCCACCGAGTCCCGGGAACAGTTTTTGCCCTTCTCACAGTGTTGCAAGTAAAACAGGAAACAGCCGTCGTGGTAGTTTGAGAAATCGCCTTGGACCGTTCCCTCAAGTCGGCCCGTGGTGGCACACCGTGCTTGGCCCTGGCACTCAATTTCGTATCCCTTGAGAGCCATCTGAAACAACTCATCGCCGGATACACCGGCTGTTAATCAGAATAAATGTTCTATTAATACATGTCACTTTAAAAATATGAAACGAAACAAAAATTTACTTTTTTTAAGGGGATCACTTTAAAAATATAAGACGAAACAATTTTTTTTATAAGGGGAAGCTAAAAACTAAATCCTTTACTAATAAAATATCTCAACAAAAATATTAGTTTCCATTGAAATTTTTTTTGTTCTTAAAATTAACGTACGGGGTTCTTATCAGTTCTCAACAAGACATAACGTCGCTTCCTATTACAATAAAAAAAAACAAATCTCAATTCAAAATAACAAAACCTAAGTATTCAATGCAATTTTGATTTTGAGAAAACGAATTTCGTTTGTGAATTCGACAGCCTTTATTAATAAAAAGTCTAGTCACAATTTAAGCGCAATTTCCTGAATTAATTTTTTGTGACCGACCGAAAGGATATTTTTGAAAACTTTCTACGGCAATATTGTTCTAAATTATGGCAGGAATCGATTGGTAAATGTTTCAAGTCACTAAGTGGTCTGGTTGCCGAGATATGGGCCAAAAACTGCATTTTTTCGAGGTTTTTTGGCTTTTCCTGGAAATCCAGGAAGGAATTCCGGGGAATTTTTTTTGGCCCACAATCATCCTCGGAACTTGCTTAACATATTTGCTTTTGGAACTAGTCCTCGATATTGCTTCGTTGAGGAGGAGATACGACTTAAAGCTGCGGACACACATCCATCCATCCATCCATCAAGAAATAACGAATTAATAATCGCAATTGTCAGTATGGAAATTGCGCTAAAAACACAACAACTATATATTCAATTATACGTTTGGATACGTTTATGCAAAGATGTTTTTACTCGTAGCTGATATTTGTCTCAGTTTTTGAAGTCAGGGAAGAAATAGAGTAATTTATATATGCGAGCGTGCGTGAGTGTGTGATCGTTTTAAAAAATAAGAAACTGATATTCTTACAATCTAAAAAAAAAGAATTTTGTTTCTGTAGCAACAAGCCGGCTTGTCCGAATTATTTCCATTTTGATAATATGATATCTATATTAAAGAATGGTGTAAAATAAGCCACGAATTTTGAGGGTGGGGTAGGGGGGCGCCCACCCCCTAGATACGCCACTAGATTCCCCCACTGGAACTACGTTTCCAGAAATTCCGTAAAGGTTATAAGTAAAAGATTATTTGTGGTGGAACAGAAGCGCTTTAAAAAGAATACAATACGCCCTATTCTACTTCATCCTAATTGTTTGTAACCAATAATACAAAAATAATAAGTAAAAACAAATATTACAAAACCTATAAAAATTAATAACTAAAAACAAATTTAATTTTAACAACCCATAAAAATTAGCAAGTAAAAACACATAATAAAGGCACCAACCTAGGATGTAAAAGATACAAAAAATGAAGATCTTAGGCAGCAGGCTGTTACCCATCTTTCTATCAAACTGAAGATTCTGTAAAGAAAAAGAAAATTTATATTTATAATAAAAAGCTGCTAACCCGAAAGTCTAGAGTTCGTACCTTTGGACAGATGAGGCTCGTCAGCTGGGGACACCAACCCATCTAGGAGAGAAAACTCCGAAATCAAACAGGAGTGGAGCCCTTAGGGCAGGGGTGGGTAAAGTGCGGCCCTCCACAGAATTTTTAGTGGCCCGCCAGACTTTCAGAAAACCTCGCCTTGAACTGAGATTTGCTTCATGTCTGGTGTGTAGCCTATATTTAGCAGCCCTACTTGCGCAGAAAGACCGAGAGACCTATAGTGGGCAGAAGAAGAGAGAAGAATATTGAGAACGGTTGTATGCAGAGATCGTGGGAAGACGGAGACAATGTTCATTCCAGGCCTCTTCGCCCCCCCCCCCCCCCAACCCGCATCCGAAAAAAGACTACCGCTGCCCCCCCCCCCCCCCCGAACGGAATGGAATTTATAATGAAAACATACACTTTTACCAGTGTCTGCCCCCCCACCCTTATCCGAAAAAATGTGTGCTTTCCTCTTCCCCCCCCCCCCCCCGAAAATATCAGGTGCCCCCCACCCCCACCCGGAGAAGAATGTCTGGAAGAAACACAGGACGGAGATCATGTGAGGCGAAAGGATAAAGAATGCGGATAGTAGATAAACACGGGGTCGGTGCTTATCAAATACCCGGCGTGTTTGGTGTGGGGACTGCGACAGGGTTGGTTCACAAAGAGTAACTTGAGCAGTGTTTCTTCCAGACTTTTTTCTCCGGGGGGGGGGGGGTGGGGGGCACTTGAAATTTTCGGTGGGGGGAGACTTTCTTCGGGGGGGGGGGGGGACACACACACACACATTGTTAAAAGTATATATTTTCTATACAAATTATATACATTTCATTTCGTTCGGGGGGGGGGGGTATAATTTTTTCGGGGGGGGGGGGGGGGGCTTCAAGAGATGCCTGGAAGAAACACTGATCTTGTGTGCAACCGTCTCATAGAACGATTGAAAGGAGAGAACACTGTCAGTAGAACGTGAGATACGTAGTGATACAGTGTATGCCTAGTGGTATTGGAGGTCTGTTGGTTCTCATGTTACTCTTGGAACACTGATTATCCTTCCAGAAATGAAGTGATGAAATCTCGAGCCTGCAGTCAGAGAGTAATTCATTTTACGTCAGTGCGTAATGAGGTGTCAACATCCCAGCGGCTGCATTCCTAGCCGTGTATGAATACATACACGGCAAATTCTGTCGCATTTGGGTGCTTCGAAAGGCAACCTAACAAAGAATGTCACTCGTCTGTCACTATTGGCAGTGGCGGGAAGATCGAAATATATATTTGCACGCCATTTGATTGATTCAACTAGTCTATGTTCTAAGTTCTAAGAAACATAAAACGGAAGTGATCTTTCCTAATCTCTCTCAAATATTCTTATATAACACTACGGGGGGGGGAGGCAACTCGGGATATAGACATCATTTTTTAATCAATTTTTACATACTTAAACTTTTTGGAATAGAGTAGAATCTCGTAGAAAAAATAATTGCCCACCAAATGAACAGCAACAATGCGTGTATAATAGTGCGGAACATTAGTACTTTATCAATTTCAATTCATGTGCGTTTATTTTTTATTTATTTTAAATTTTTTTTTTTTTTTTTTGAAAAAATCAGAAATTGCGTAAAATACTAGATTTAGATCTAGATCTACTTCCTGTCACCGGAAATTACTTAAAATTTGAAAGAAAACAGAGAAATAGATCTTTTACTTATGTGTGAAATTGTGTCTATCTATATACTACTAAAAGTCAAGTTTGTTTACATGTTTGAATATTTATTTTTTTGTTTGTTTTTTTGTTTGTTTGTTTGTTTGCCTGATCGACTATTGTGATATGTTCGACTCAATCTGGATAGCTGTAAAATAGTATGTAGGTAGAGAATAATTTTTTAATGCAGACAGACTGTTAATCACACATTTATTTAAAGACGTTAATTAATTTATTGATTTATTCATACGCAGAGTAACCCATTTTTTTAAAAAATATTAAAACGACCACTACACTCGGCGGGACCGTGACGTCACAGGTTTTTGTTTACTCTTTAGTACAATAAAATGGCGGCGTCTATCGAAGAAAATTGTGTTCCCATTCAAAAGTTTAACGCGTTCTAAATCTAATTTTCTGTCGGTCATAACTTTAAAAATACGTCCGTTTGCTGTATTTATTACGTTCCAACACTTATATCAATTTTAAACTGTCTTTTTTCATTTAGTTTTACAATAAATTTCTCTAGATCTAAAGATCAGCTGTCGAAGGAAAGTTATGAATCTAGCCTAGATCTAGATCTAGCCTAGATCTAGGTCACTAGACTCAATGTAAATTCTAGATCTAGACTTAATGTAAATTCTACATCTAGAATCTATTTCAGGCCTTAATACATCTAGAATCTATTTCAGGCCTTAATTATTTTATATAAATCTTTGTTTGGCTAATTTAAGGTAAAATTTAATTTGAAAGTTACTAGATTCTACTACTAGACTTAGATCTAGATCTATGCGCGGAGACTCAAAAGTATAGTATAAAAATTCATTTGTGACGTCACGAGTAAATAGCTAAGTTGATAGCGTAGTCCGCTCTCATGTGGGTGGCACAGGTTCTAGACCAATATGTCAATGATCTTTTTTTTTCAATTTTTTTTTTAGATGTGAATGATAAAGTTGCCTATCTGAACTTGGCAGGATACAGGGCAGGTGAAGTAGAGTTCATCTGTTTCTTTGTCCTAAGCATATGAAAGGATAGTGTGGTCAGAGACATGCTCGGCTGGAATCGTTTTTTAAACGATAAAAACATGTTGTCTGAGACTTGGCGGGACACTGGGCAGGTGAAGTAGAGTTGAGTAGGTCACATGTGACGTCAGTATATGAAGGGATAGTCCGAAATCGGTGTTTTCGGTGTTTTTAAAAGATAAGAAACATATTTTTGAATGTGGGGTCTGTTTTTTGTGACGATAAGTGACACTGCAGTAGCGTAGCGAGGAGGGGGGGGGGAAGGGGAGGTGGAGGGGGGAAGGGGGGACATATGTTGGGGCGCCAAAATGGTTTGGAAAAATAAATTGAAAGGTTGAGGGGGGTTCAAATCGAAAGTTTGAGTGGGGGGGGGGGGTGCACATCAAAAGTTTGAGGGGGGGGGGTTGAAAATCGAAATCTTGGGGGGGGGGGTTAAAATCGAAAAATTTGTCCCCGGGCGCGGGAAGGGTCGCTATGCCTCTGAGTGACAGACGTGATGTTTTTTGATGGATGACCCCCGAAACCCACAGTTATCCAACGGATGACGGGTATTCTAGTCTATCTTAAACGGTACTCAAGTTATAGGCTTTTGATAAACCAAAAGTAGAATAAGTTCCACGTTCCGTTTACCGGAAATCGCTGAAAAGTTGATACAGAACTACAAACTGGATGTAGATCTAATACTTATTTATGAAATTTCATCTACCTAGCTGTGACGATACACAACTTATCGTGTTCACAGACAAACATCCACACAAACAAGATTGCAAAATTAAGTTTTTCAGTCTCGATGACGCGTAAAACGCCGAGATTTTGATAGAATCTATATCTGGATTTAGAATTTTTGCCCGATTAAAATAAGTCCTCTATACTCCGCATATGAATTAGTACTGAGTACTGAGTTGTAAAACGGTGAAAACTGTCAAAATTTCTTGTGATATTGTGCATCATTACAATCCTTTCTCTCATCTTGTATACGAGAAAGTAATAAACAAACACAGAAGAACCAAGTCTAAGTAAAACAAAACAAAAAATAGATCTACACTAAGTGTTATTTCTTTTTTTATTTAGTCATTAAAATAAACCAATACCTACCGAAAATTCAATTTAATTTACGCTATCTAGTTTTCATTACATGTTTTAAATAGATAGATATTGGTTCTAATCTAATGCTACATGACTACATGTACATGAAGCCCCATGATGAACCATGGCTATGTTTGTTTACCCTATGACGTTTTACACACAATGTTTGAAAGACAGCTACAAAATAATGTTGATTCGCGGATTTATATTGTAAACAGAATCAATAAAGCGTTTACGGGAGATACACATTTTTAATACAAATGTATTTACTTTTTCCTCGCTTTGAATTGTCGAGTTGGACGGTATTTAGATCTAGTTGGACCTACCCTACTTTATATTAAAATCTCAAGGATATTGGCAAGATATTATTGATTCTTTGAATCTAAAACAATTTGTGCACACGGCTACCAGGGTAAATGATAAATCAAGTACAATAATTGACCACATATACGCATCACCTGACTGCAACCTAATAGAGGTCTGTGTCCCCTCTTGTGGTGTTAGTGACCACTTCCCTGTTTGTTGTACTTTTTCGACAAAAAGATTATGTGTACCTTCGCGGCAACACATAACTATAAGTTATCGCTCTTTTAGAAAATTTAATGAAAATCTTTTTCTTTCGGATTTATTGGCTGCCCCCTTCTGCAATGTATACAATTATAATTGTCCCGATCTTGCCATTTCTGAATGGCTGCGTTTTTTCTATACTATATATGACAAACATATTCCTAAAATCTCTAAAAGAGTTAAGACTACATACAAACCTTCTTGGTTTAACAACAATATCGAATCTGCAATTAATAAAAGAGACTGGCTTAAACGTTATGGAACTTCTGAGGACTTTTGTAGGCAGCGAAATTATGTCAAACTGCTCGTGCGTAGGTCGAAGAAGGAGTATTTTAATAAGCTGCTGTCAGGCAAACCTAATTCCAAATCTATCTGGACTGCTATAAATCAAATAATTAGAAAAAAACGCACATGTAATACAGCTGGACATTGCCAGATATCTGCTGATGACTTTAACAATCATTTTATATCATCTGCAGCGCTCAACACAGATGCTGATTACACAATCAGTGATGAGCTTAAAAATTTTTGTAATTCTGCTCACCGTGGTAGGACAGAGCTGATCATTCCGCTTCTCACTGTTCATGAAGTATATGTTAGCCTAAGATCTCTTAAACCGTCTTCAACAACTTCGTTTGATGATATTTCTAATAATGTATTGAAGATTTCAGCTCCAATAATTTCCGAAGTTTTAACCTATGTCTATAATCTCTGTATTGCCAAGCATTATTACCCGACACATTTTAAGCATGCTAAGGTTATACCACTACACAAAAAAGGTAACATCCAAGATGCTAATAACTACAGGCCAATTTCTATACTTTCTTCCCTCTCCAAGCCACTAGAAATACATATAAACAAATGCATTTCAAATTACCTAGAAAAGCTCAAGCTTTTCCATAGTAATCAGTCTGGGTTTAGAAAGTTTCATTCTTGTCACACTGCTCTGATTAAGATGAATGAAAACTGGCTTATAAATATTAACAAAAACCTACTCTGTGGCTCGCTGTTTGTCGATTTCAGAAAAGCCTTTGACTCTATTGATCACACCATACTTCTTAAAAAACTAATTCCATACAAATTCCACGACTTTACAGTTAGGTTACTTCACTCCTTTTTATCTAACCGATCTCAACGCGTGTTTCACCTTAATACCATCTCTTCACAGAAATATGTTAATATAGGGGTTCCACAGGGCTCAATCTTAGGTCCTTTACTTTTTTCTTTATACATTAATGATCTTCCATTACATATTGACGCTGGTCAGTGCGAGATGTTCGCTGATGATACTTCTTTGCATGTCTTTGCAGACAGTGCTGAGTCACTCAGTTACAAACTTCAAACATGTGCCAATCAGCTTGCTACTTGGACAAAATTTAACAAAATGAAACTTCACCCCGATAAAACCAAGTCAATGTTTATTACAACTCATCAGAAACGCCTTCGTCTTCCATCCACCGCATTAAACATTACTATAGACAATTCAAACATTGAACAGGTAGACAGTTACAAATGCCTAGGATTGTTTATAGATCACAACCTCACTTGGTCTGACCATATACATTTTCTAAGAATGTCCTTATTAAAGACAACCTTTCAATTAGCTAGGATAAAGAACTTTCTCAACTATAGGAGCAGGCTGGTTTTTTATGAGGCTTTCATTCAATCTAGGTTGGATTATGCTTCTGTAGTGTGGAGCGGCAGCTTTATATCTAAGCAGCGTCCTCTTCTTTCTTTACAAAAAAGGGCTATAAAACTGGTTACTGGCTTGTCTAGTAGTCTGGATTCTTTTCTCTCTACTAAAATACTTCCATTAAATAAAAAGATAATATATACCAAATCAATTTTCTTATATAAAATATTCCACGAAACAGCCCCCTCTTACTTATCAGATCTGTTTTCTTTTAACATAAAATTAAATCGTCGTCTTAATTTACCATTCCCTTATTCAACCTTTTTCCAAAAACATAGCTTCGCCTACTCTGGTTCTAATTTGTGGAACAATCTTCCTAATAAAATAAAGCTTTCTAGATCTGAAAATATATTCAAAACTAAACTAAAACTAAAATTATTTAATGACCTAACTGACTCATTGTAACATTTCTCATTCATCTATTATATTCTCTTTTTTATCTCATTATGTATGATAGCTATGTACCATTGTTTCTTTATTCCACATTTTCAGTGCTATGTGTTACTGCTATGTGTTATTGAATTGCTTTATTTGTTTAAACGGCCAATGTGAAAAAAGGCCTTTGTGCCTACAATTGTAACCGTTGTTTGAATAAATTTGAATAAATTTGAAATTTGAAATTTACCCTAGTACCCTTCCCTAACCTAACCAACCTAACCTAACCTAACCTTAAACCTAGGTAACCTAACCTAATTTATTTAAAAACGCCATCCTATACCTAATGCTTGAAATAATGCTTCCAATAAAAGTAGCAATAATGCTTCAAGCTAAAAATGACTTTTTTTTCGTCTTACGGTACGGAGTAGTCTAAAAGAATTAAAAACAATGTATTAATTCATTCGTCACCGTACAGTATTTTTTTAAATGGGTGTATTGTCACGTGACTTTGGCGTCGGTAGCAATGCAAAATGGCTGCGTAAATATGTACACAGCCTAGAAATGACATCAAATTTTAATTACTGATTGCTTATAATCAATACATGGTAACTAGCATAGAAAAGCAAAGTCTGTCTATTGTTATTAGTTAAATGCATAAGTAACATGCTATCGTGTATTTCTTAGTCTTAAATTGAAAAAGCACGCCTAAAAAAAGGAAGACATGATGAAACACGACAGTCGACAGTCAGTGTCAGTGAAACATGACTGTCATGATGATCGAACGAATGAATGATATGATTATCAAATAAATTTAGTATTAAATAATTTAAAAATTCTTAAAATAAAATATGAATGAATTATAATTGATTTAATGATTTTAATTTGAACCCATGAGCTTTGGTTTAGAATAGAAGAATATTGAATAATGTACTATTAGTATTAATGAATATTGAATAAGCAACCGTTCTAGTTCTTTGGTGTGGGTGAGTTTTTGAGCATTTTGGAGGGAGGACCATTGCGTAGAAAATGATAGATTTGGCATATAAAAATTACAACTAGACCCATAAAACTACATATTTTCTTTAATGAAAATGGATGGAGATAATAATTTGTATTTAGTCTATAGGCCTAAGGCCTACTAGGCCTAATGAAGTAATTATTAAGATTTAGTTGATGATATTGACATTGGAGAGTTTGAGTCATAATTAATTGATTAAATTTTTTGTTTTCAGATGTCTTTTATTTTGATTCATTTTATACATTTCCATGTTAATAGTGCATACTAGTTCTTTCATTTTTCGTTCAGAAAATGTATGGATTGTATGCCTTTCATTAAAAATATTCCTACAAAAAAAATTCAACATTAAAAAAAAAATACTAATTAGGTGGGTGTCACATTCTAGTCACAGTGTCTCTAGTCCACAATGGCCCCAATTATTGTTTAGAAATAACTCTTAAAATAATGTTACATTATAATTTAGGCCCTATAATATTTTGATTCCTTTTTAAAATATTTAGGCTTTGTTTAGGGCCTACATTGTCTTAAATTAAATTCGTCCTGAAATCAGATTTAGTAGTGATTGAAGATGGATTTAAATTTGGACGGATAGTTAACTTCAGAGATTAAGTAGATTTCATCAGTTTCATTTAACTCTGCAACTGAAGGGATAGACTCATGGTTAGTCCTGTGCGCATCTACATTTTAATTTATTTTTCTTAATGTGAGTAAGCTACCTATCAGAGTCGTGTGGACACACTTCTCATGGAGTTGAGCTCAGGATCTGAACCCAACACTTTTGGTTTAGCATAAACATGATCTACCACTTGACCACCTTAGTTTTATGTTATTTATAAACTAGTTTAATGTGTTACATGAATAAAAATCCAATTATTTATATTACCTTGTCAATCAATCCTTACTATAACACTTTCAATATATTTAAAAACTCCATTTTAGAACAAATGTTGTTTCTTGGATGTTTGGGGAGCATTAAAAATGCATGAGGGATGAACTGATCCACCATGTCAACTGTAAGTGGCTTTTTAAAATTATAGTTTATAAATGGGGAAATCATGAAATACAACATTAGCAAAAACTTAGTAATTGTTTTTTTTTAAAATAAGTTTATTGATTTTTATTATTAATTTAAAAAAACTTGAACATGAAGGAAAATTTACCTATAGAAACAAAATAACAATTGAACATGCATTTCAGAATGCCAATCAGACAGATTTAAAAAAAGGAAATGAGGAGGAGTTCCCAGTTGCCGCTATAGTGTGTCTTGCTGTTGGTGGTTATGTTATGCTAGTTATAATCATAATAGTCATCCGACATTTTTTACGGGTAAATACAATATGATGATAGATAATAAAAACTTATAAGAAATTGTAATAGTTATTGTGCTTATGAAATTCAGCTTGAGATTAACTGTTAAAAACAATGGTTACTAACCTATTATGGTGTATCAATAAGCTATCATTCAACATCTATCAAGCACTTAGAATACTGTAATTGCTACTTGAAGAGATTTTAAGAGTTGAGTTGGTAAAACAGATTGGAATTATAATGGCAAGTAAATTTTGCATTTTAAATGCCTAAATTGTATTCATTTTATTTTTTTTAATACCTGATTAGAAAAAAGGAGCATGCCAGTCTACCTGTTGTGAGATATCTGATGAGCCTTGCTGTGTCGCGTGCTCCAAAGTCAACGAGGCTTGCCCTTGTTGTTGTAGTTCTAATGTCGATGGATGTCTGTCTAAAGTCTGTGGCCAAAGAAAGGTTTGTATGTTTTTGTTTATGTTGAGTTTTTTTCTCTGCAGATGAAACACAATTAAGCTGTAACCAGTTTTGTTTTTTCTGTGTAATATTTGCTATGGGAAGTATTAATGATTTTTCTATTGTGAAATATGGTTTTACTTCCTGTTATATAATTTTTTTAAAAAAAGGTTTTAGCCAATGTGTATGTTAAATTTACTGTCTAAAAGCTAGTCTAAAAATTCTAAATAATATAAGATGGTATCTTTAGAGATAGATGTTAGATACAATTTAAAGATATTCTAACAGATGAGATGTTATCAGTTATATTTATACACAATTACAGTGATATATTAAAGTCTAATATTCAATTTTTATATTTCATATGTAATGACAATTTCTCTTTCATCGTAATAATTTTTTCCCTTTATTTGTAATATGTTTTATTTAACACCATTATATTATTAAATTTCAGAAAATTAGTTGTGTTGATATTTTATTGTGCAATTGTTGTGGCTGTACAGAGGGATGCTGTGAAGTAAGTTATTCACTTGTTTACTTTTAATCTAACTCATGTCCTTGTTTGTTTTTGGTTAAGTATGTGGTACAATTCTTTGTTATCCATTTTAAAAAAAAATCAGGTATGGTCTTTGTTTGAGTTTACTTAACAAATTATTGAAGTATTCTATCAACTAACATTTCAGCAAAGTATTCGAGTTTTTGGGGAGAAGAATAAATACACATTTAACAAATATACATTTCTTACTAAGAATAAAAGATAGAAATGTATTTTCCGAATGCAGAAAATGTGAACTTCAATTTTCTCATCATCGCATATGTATTTTCAATAACAATGAATTAACTCATATAAAAACTTACAATAAAAAATGTTGTCTTGTTGTATTCAGCATTTGTATAGCTAGGCATGCATAGCTGTTGTATTGAATGTGCTCATAATACTAAGTGAAGCTTATCTAATTTTAATATGGTGCAAAACACTACACTGAAGTTATCTCTTCACTATGGGAGCAATCAAATCAACTAATGCCTTTTATTTCAGTGCTGATTTTAAAAATGTATATATTTATTGTTAAAAGTGTCTACTTACATTGTGTGTAATATTAACATAGTAACACCTCTTTGAAGTAACATATTTCATACTTTTAGCTGTAAGAATTGTTTTTGAATTATTTAAAAAAAAATGATTTTGTTAAATTCTAGCTGTTGTAATAAAAGAGTCAAATTCTTTGCATTGTTTCCTAAACAAATATATTTATAATTTAATGTTTTCTTTAAAATAGAACTTAAATTTTAATATTTAAACCATTAGGCTACATCAAACTATAAGAGGAGGATTAAATCTTTTAAATAATTTTGTAGCTTTCTAAGTTAGATTATCTTTTTTAATAATTTCTTTGTAACTGTTTATGTCTCTATATGCTTTTAAAAACAATGATCAGATAAATATTCAGGTTCAAAACAAGGTATCTGTATATTTTAAATTAATGAAAGTAACACTTAATTACAAAGCAAAATTATTATTTTCAGTGTTGAATCCAGTTAACAGAGAACATATTTTATGTCATATTTGTGTAGATGATTGTACATTTATTTTGTTTGTTTTTCTTGTTGTTCATTCCTGCAGTTGTTGAAATGGATGTTACAATGTACTCATTTATTATATTCCTAAGCTATGTTAGTTATTGGATTTATTCTGTTTAATTTTTTTTAAATGCTACACAACATTGTTGGTCCATCTGCAGAATTGCTTTGAAAAATATGGGAGGCAGTCTAGTAGTATTCCCACCTCTAGCATAATTCCATAAATATCAGTTTGTTTTTGTTTCGCCGTAAGTATGGTGTAGGTTTTTAATCTGTGTGCAATACCACCTTTAGTACTCATTCTCTTAATAGAAAATTATTAACATCCATAGTACTAATACTTACATATGTACAATATATTATTATACATAACTATAACCTTATTTGGAAATCTCCACTGAAATTATTTATTTATTTCAGTAAAAGAAAATTGAGATTTTATTTCTTTTTAAAGTAAATTAAATTGATAAAACACAGCTATACAAGTGTTAGCATTAGTAGACATAAATCATTTATGGATTTAAAAACTATTCACCTTTAAAACACTAACTTTTAATGCATGGATTCAAATTTCTTTAACAAATATCATCATTGAATTTTAAATTTGAGTTTTTTTAATTGAAGGATTAATTGCATTGATCTTTAGCCTAACAAGTTAACAATAACGACAGCTGAAATTTAGCTTAAGTTTATAATTTTGAATAACCTATTAATAGATTACAGAAATGATAAACCAGTTCTCGACCAAATAACCTTTCTTAAACAAACTTAAAAATAAAAACATTGTGGGATCGGAACTAGTAGTATAATTTGTTAAGTTCTGCTCACAGCTCTGGACTTCCCAGCTCAATACTCTATTCAAGTTTTAAAACCTTATGCATGGTGTTCATTTTATGTTATGATTACCTCCCCTCTCCCACTTTCTCCTTAATTCTCTATGGCATCAAATAGTTCTAGCCCACATTCCTTGTTAAAATACTTATAATGTATACAGTTAGTGGGGTCAAATCTGTTCAATTCACTTTGCTATTTTCTTTCCAAAATCTAAAATCAACTAAAAATGTTTTCCTTAGAATGCAGTAGTGATTAGACATTGTAGATTATTAATTTAATCAATAGCTAAGGAACATTTTAATCAAAGTACCATGAGATCACTAATATATAAATGAAATCAATTTCCTAGCTTTTATGTTGCATACTTTTATTGATAATCTTTGAGCATAAATGCACAATAAAAATTTTGAATCTAGAACCTGCATCAATTTTAACCTTTTAACATCTTTTTTCAATTTATTTATGACTACCAGGTTTCTAGAACTTTCACTTCCCATAGTTCCTTTCTCTAATTACCCGACCACACTGTTTGGCGTTCATGTCAGTAAAACGTCCCTCAGTCCACCCAGCTGTCATGGGTAGCTAACTCATGTTAGGGAAAGTAAAGGCAGCCGGACAGAGTACTGCTCACACTATCCCTTCATATGCAGAGGTTACAGAAACAAGTATAAACCCTCCTTCACTTGCCCTATGGACTGTCAGGTTTGAAGAGGAAATTTTACTTTTAGAGTGTTTGGCCAATGTTTTATTCTTCCGCACCATTGATGTTCCAGAGAGTTATCTTTTACCTTAATTTATCTTTATTGATCAGGTGCTTCTCAGTTTGTTTACTTCAACTAATAAGACACAAATGGTCCTCTGTTGATTTGTGTGAAGTTTTCTGGCTTCACTAAACAACTTTCTTCCAGATTTGTCTTTAGGTCATATAGTTTGTAGTCAAAATCATATTTTGTTGGACATGTTTCTCTTTTCACTTTTATAAAAAGGCATTGATTGAGGGTGGGGGGGGGGACGACTATTTTTTCATTGATTTGCTGTTTCGCTCAGATTGCAAAGACTGGTGGAGTTTTTTAAAATTTTATGTTGTTATTTTATGTAAATACTTGGCCATATAATTAGTTCTAAAACATTTTATTAAATGTTTTAAGACAAAGTCTCGTAAATTAAAATATAATAAATAAAATATAGGCTTACTTCTGATCAAAATTTGAACTATACTTATTAAATATCTTCTTTTCTGATTTTTTTTAAGTCAAATTCCATCTTAAGTTTTCCTTTAAGGAACATTTTAAATATTTTACAGCATCAGTCTCAATGTTATTTTTATTTTAAAATTTAATTTTTGCCTCATATGCGACTGCTTAATGCTACATCTGTGATTTTTACCAAAAATCAATGTAATATTCCAACACATAGTTTTTCTTTAATTTTGCTATTTATTTTTTTTTAATGAAAGGCAAAAAATGTAATAGAGAGTTTTATAAATAGTCACACTTATACAATCTATTCCTACCCCCTTACTTTTCCTTCTGTGTGGTATCTCATCTTTTTTGTATGACTGCAAATGCTGTTAAATTATTTAAAATACTAATGTAAAGTTGCAACAGTGGTAACATCCACTTCAATCAGTGTTACTTATAATTCATACTAGCATATAATCAACAGTAGCTGCCTTTACCCAAAATAGTGTTTTGTTACTCATGTCATACAAATGTATTATTTTGTTCTCCTAATTGTTTTGTTTGAAATGTCTTTACATTATAATAGGCTTCATGTGTGTTTAAAAATTAGTGAAAGCATTTATAAAAAAACTAAGAAACATTTGATGCTTGCTTGAAATATTAATAATTTTCAAAAAATTTATGATAGTTCAGTATTTACATATAAAAATTTTAAGGCTTAGTACAATCTTAGTGGCTAAAATATCAACAATTAAAGCTTAAACATTTGTATCTCTGCTGAAGAGAGCTCATCACTTTGCTTTTCAGTTAACTTTGAATTAATTTCATTTTATGGGTATTTATTTCATTCCTTTATCATGGGCTAGAAAGTTTTATAAGTGCAATATTACACAGGATAAAACATAGACCTATTTGTGTAGCTATGTTTAAAATGCTGTGATATTTATCTGATCACATTCCCCTTGTAGCAATTTATTTATAGTGTTGCATGTTTATTTTAGTAATCAGTATTAAGTATTAATTACTCATCTTGTACTAGCCTTCTTGTTAACCCTTCTTTTAATTAAAAAATAATATCTCCCAATTAAATTAGCTGTTCTCACACTGGTATTTACATTTTTTTTTTTTGCCTTTATTTTTCTTCTATTTCTAAATATTTTTAAAAAATTAACTTTAAAAGATTTCTTTGTTTACAGGCTACTCCAGAAAATTCTTAATAAATTTTTAATATTTGTTTTAGTTTAATTTCTAAAAATATTAATAATTTCAACTTGTATAATAAACTTTTATTCCATAGGATTCTTTTTTCTTTATTATTTATTATATTTAGTTGTTCATTTTAATAACGAAAAATGTAAACCTTTTTCATTTTAATTTAATTTCTACTTTTATACAATATTGAAATATTCAAATACACATTTTTTTTTGCCATCAGAAGAAAAAAAAAGAAGACAATATTTTTTTTTTGTAGTATAAAAATTTTTTGATTCAAAATGCCAGAATACAATTTTTTATTTTTTTATTCTTTTAGACTATTTAATTTAAAAAAAAAAATTTGTTTTACTATCTACAAAATTCATTTTTTATTAACCCTAGGCATGCGAATGCAAAAGTTGTCTTCCTTCAACCCATGGGTGTTGTGGTGGGGAAACTTCCTGCTGCGTTCAGCGCCCAGGATGTGCTGACTGCTGGGAAGATGAGCTTGAAAATAACACTTGCAAGTGCTTATGCCTGGCCATCAAAGTCCGCAGCCCCCGAAGGGGAAGCAGTATAAGAAAAAGTCAGACTGCGGCTTCAAATGAATTTCAGAATGATAGCAACAGCATAAGCAGTTCCATAGACAGTGTTAAGAAAGTTGAATATGAAGGAAAAGAAATAAATCAGAAAAGTTTCAATGTGCATAGTGGTTCTGGTGAGGGTATGAAGAAAGGAAGTGGTGATAAAATCAGGAAAAGATCCACCTCTCATAGCCCCAAGTTGTACAGCTCTCACAGTAAATTAGTGCCGTTGGACACATCAAACAATTCAACAGCAGACCTCCAACATCCGCACATTAAAAGATCTAGATCTTCAAGTAAAGAAATCACACATGTCAGTTTTGACGAAAGCTTAGACGAAGGAACTTATAAATCTATCAAAGAACATAAATTCGCATTGCTGTCTGGTAGTTTTTCAGGGGACTCAACTACCAGTCTTTTTTCCAAGGTTCCCTTGTCAAGCAGTACTGAAATAAATAGTCGTGCAAAAACAGGTAGCAAATTGAGGAGGTCACTTAGAGCAGGTCAAAGGTCGCAGAGGTTCCCAAACAAGATTTTGATTAGCTCCGAGTCCTTGAGTTCTAGCATAGATGTGAGGGCTTCTGTTATTTCTGCCACTTCTCTAGATAAACAGTCAGATATTTCACATCTCAGTTCTCAATCATTCTCAAATCCTTTGAATCGCAGGCCATTGCCGCCACTGAACATTAAATAAACATAGATATAAATTATTTCTTGTGTATAACATTTTACATTGTTTTTTTTTTTATCAAAAGCAGCTAAGCAAATATTTTTATTCTATTTTTTATTATACTTTAAATTTGAAAATATTTTTTGGCACAAGTTTCACCAACATTTTACTTCATGTCTTGTTATTTTTTAGAAATGTTAAATGAGAGACAGAGAGTTTGCTCCATTGTAAAAAAAATTTTAAGTAAAATGTTACTTTTGTCTCTTACAACACACAGTGGGTTTTTTTTTTAATTTAACAAGATACCAACTATTACCTCCCTTGAGTGGGAGTTTTGTTTGCTTTGACTAAGAAATATTAAGAACATTTCACTAAAAAAGCAGTTGATTTACATCTTTTCTTCAATAAATTGTAGACCTACAGAATTAATTAAACTCGGTTGTTTTTTTTAATCTTCAAAATGACACTTATATTCTTTTAAAAGAATGTTATAAAACATAAATCCTTTAAAATTAACTAGTTTTATCTTAATAACCAATTCATGGAAATTTTTCTTAGTCAAGAATAGACATATAAGGAAATATCAAGTCAGCCAAAATGATAACACTTGTAGGCCTATTCTCTTCCTAACTTTTTCTCTCTGACTCCACTAAGGCCTGCCTTGCTCTATGACTTGCAATAATGTGTTGACTTCTTCATTTCATTTGTTTTTCCGGTATAACTATTTCCGATGAATATTTTCAAACAATATAACTACTGCCATTTTAAATGCTTGCCTTACTTTTTTAAAATGTTAATTAATACACCAATCAAAATTGGAGTAAAACTCAAAAGCTAAGATTGTCTCTATATCTTTTTGAATTGACAAATGTCACAAAATATAAACAGATTTGAATTTGTTGTGATATATATATATATATATATATATACGTATGTAACAATTTCTCCCTCGAATGCAGTGATAACTGACAGAATATGAACAGATATGAACCTGTTGTGATATATCTTAATGTAACAATTTCTCCCTCGAATGCAGTGAGATATTTAGATCTTTGTGACAAATTTTGCACTGTTCACTTCACTCTGACATATGTTAGCAGACTTGAAGTCTTGGGTCTAACATGATTACAAGGGACATAACTGTGATAAATAACTTGAACTTCCTGTTCTAAGATTGTGCACCAATGTTTAAATTATTTTTTTATGCATTGTTTTAAAAAAAACTGTAAGCTCAGATGCCGTTGAGTAATGTTTTTTTCTGCTACTTAATATGTAATGCATTTGAAGTCCTGTTCCTGCCATAAGCTACTTCTGATACTGTTCTGATATTTTTTGAATCTTCCACTTTAGTGTATTGTATTACTTTATTTAAACTTTGGTGTTAAAAAAGCTAATCAAATGTTTTCTAACAGGTGTTTGTACTATTTCTTTTTCTGTGTTTGTAATATTTGAAAGACATTTTTTAAAAAGTAGTATTCGCTAAACAGTTATTTTTTTTTCACAAAACAAACAAAAAATATTCATTATCTAATCTAAGTTTTATTGAAATGAGTTTCAACCTTAAACTGTACTGGCTTTAATGTTAATATTATTATATTAGGAATAGAGTATTAGTTTTATTTTTTAAAATTTAAAAGTTAAAAGCTATTGCTACTAAGCTTAAAAATATTTCTTTGCTTGTAATGTACCTACACTCACTGATATGCTGGTGTTTAGTAAATGTTTGAAATTGTTGCCCCTGTTGAAGACAGTTTTAAGTCCAGCTGTCAGGAACAAAAATAATTGCCTCAAAACACTCTAACAAATAGTCTAGCCAGTAAATTACAGTATATCTTAATGGCTTTGTTATACTTTAAGAAGAGTTTTTAATGACGTAATGATGATTTGTGATCACATTACAACTAAGCTAATATATTAAGTCTTTTCTGAATTGCTTTTAATAAGTTAAAATATGTATGCTAATTTCAACCAGCTTAAATTATCATGTGCAATTCCAATTTTGTCAACTGAAATTTTATCTACTGAAAACTTATTTAAAAGATGTTTACAGACAGCCTTAAACCAATCAGAAATGTTTAAGTATAAATGGAGTTAAAACAACAAGTTTTATACTGTCACACCCAAAGGACTTTATTTTACCTAGAAAAGTTCAGCAGCATTTACGTAAAATTTATTTAATGTAGTCATTAGAGTACTCTATGCCTAGTTTTAAATTAAATAAAAATGTTCTTCAATTCAGAAGCTGAGTTTTTTTGTTTTTAAATGGAATGAAAGTTTACATACTCAATAAAAGAAGTCTCAACATATTGTACATAATATACTTTATTCATGTATTCATATTTACATTCTACTTTAACAGTTATTACACTGAAGACTAGTTTTATGTAATTTAAAAAAAAACATGTTGCTCAGTAGAATCAGACACATTTAAACAAAAGATAATTATATGTAGGCAAATAAGTTTAAAGTTATGATAAGTGGAAATAATTTAAATTAAAAAGAATAAGCTGAACAAAAGTATAACATAATTTATTTGTTTCAGACAGAAAAATAAAATAAAAAACACTGTATTAAAGTACCCTTTTGGACTTGGTGGTCAGAGGGTGGACAAAGCAGAGTTTATCTGCTCATGACCTTATACATAACAGCATAGAGACAATTTCCCCCAACATAAACTCTGCCAGCATACTTTAAAAAAAAAACTCAACCACCCTACTGAAGAAAACAAAAACCCTACTTTAGAGAACACAAACACTCAAACTACTTGTGAAAAAAAAAATAAACACTCCATCTGCCTACTTTGAATATTTTTATAACAAACTGCCTGCCTATTTCAAATAAATTAATTTCATGATATAAATAAGTTGTTAACTAAGTCGTATATTTAGCGCAGAACCTGAAGAACTTTTCAAACATATTAAACTTTCCTGGCATACTTTGTGTGTCCAAGATCCTAAACTACACCACTGAAAGACGTCTCTGGTAACTGGTGTCAATAAACATTACATAGCTTGAGTTAGCGCATCCTATAAATAAATCTCTAAGATTAAATCTAATTTAAAAATTAACTAGGGATGTTAGGTTATAAAATATACATCAACATATCACGTAAAGCTAATTCAAATTGAGGGTGGAAAGATGTATGTTAGGTTAAATGGATTAGGGTTAAATACTCAGACATGCAGCTAAACAAGACTGTCTTAAACACCTGTCTCAAATACTCAACTGTCTAAAACCCCACTCGACTGGTTTCAATCACTTTGTTAATTACAGGTCATATTTCTTTCCTTTATTTTGATCAGTTAATAATATCATACAACGCTTTTAACCACCTCATTCTTAACACTAATTAGCTTTCACAAACAAAAATATTAATTACTAGTCTATGCAAGTTTTCTCTTACTGTATACTGAAAATGAGCAATGTCTCGACTTAATTAAAGTTCTCGACAATAAAAACAAATATTGAAAAAATGTATACATTGATTTTGTTTTTAAAAAATATATTTACAGCAGTTGCTTCTACAGTAAAACATTGTTCCCCAGTTCCAGCGTACAAACTGTAGCATAAGATCTTGTTTATATTATTGCTAGAGTCCATATAAATTATACAGCATCTGCTTAGTCATGTTTACTGTAAGATTGTGATACATCTCTCATGCACTAACATTATTAAAAAAAATATGCAAAATATTCAGCTGGTAACAATCACAGCTACAATGTGTTTTTCAAAAGGGAAATAAAGATAAATTCCTAATCCATGCAAGTTCTGTCTTGCAATAAAAATGAGCAACAAATTAAAAACACAGCCTTAATTTATTTCAATTACTGGGCAATGAATAACAAACATTAAAAAGCAGAAATGTTATAGTAATAGATTATACATACAGTAGAACCCCTGTTATTTAGGTAGATAACTAATTTGATTATGTCATTGAGCTAGGTTTAAGTACCAAAAAATATTTAAGATTACATAGTAAAATCAGCCTGGAGTTTCCTACAAACACATTCCCTATCAAATAAAGTTGTTTACTTAATGTTGTGTTAGGGCTGATTACTAAACAAGAAAGCTGGTCAGGTTATTAACTTCACATGGCACAGATTAAGTACAATGCACATAAAACCAATTAACTTCAGTTCTCACATCCTAGCTGGATACACAAGCAAGTCATTATGTCAATTACAGTTAATTGGTGTTACTGTTTAGGGCTCGCTATTTAAATTGATAATTAATTTTATCTGTTAACTAAAAAAAAAGTTTTTTATCAAGAACTAACGAATTTAAAATTGTTGAAATTTTCTAATAAATTTTATTGTTTAAAAATCTTTTCTTTATTTTCCTTTATGACTGTCAAATGAATTAAAAAAAAAACTTTACAAAAATAGTTAACAAATACAACAGTTCTCTTAAATAAAATTTTACGTTATGACAACAAGGGTTCTGCTGTAAGCTTTTGTTCTGACATCCGTATGAGAATGTTTTCTTGACAGTTTATTTAGGATTAAATAAAAAGTATGTTTTGAGTCAATTTCAGACATTGGCACAAACTATCTGGCATGACCTGTCTATTTAATAACACAAATTACCCTTACAACAGAAAGTTTTATGAGAGAAGCAAGAGTATTAGACACAGAGCATGTATCATTTAAACCAGCACAGACAACAATCATGGTTTATATTCTATACAGGGCATCAAAAATTACACTGTTCATGTTCATGAACTAATTATTACTATGAAAGTATTTTAATGAAAAAACAGCATTCCAGTATATATTTAATGCATAACACAGGGTGCTTAATTTAACATCATGATGAATTATTTAAGCATGAAATAAGAGTTTAATAACCAAGTTGTAGATTAAACTAATTGTTTTTAACTCCAACACTGCTCTCAAGTCAATTATTTAATTTGTACACAGAAATTTATAATTTATAAGGCAAGATTGAATCAGCATTGTTGAGACCATAGCTTTGCTGATTTCCTTTTTCGCAGCACAGCTGCTGATTATTAACAGAATAATTGTTGGTTAAGAGTCAATGAGCAAATCTAACACCTCATCGTGGATAAAACCCAGGCTGCGGCATTCCATATGGATAACTACTGGGTATACCAGACGTTGGATACGGTGCTACTGGCGCTGGGTTCCTGGAAGTCGGATAGGGTGCCACAGGTGCGGGTACTCTGGCTGTTGGGTATGGGGCTGGGCCTTTGGGGATGGGGTAGGGTGGCTTACTGCTAGGCTGAGAGGACAATCCCCAGTCTTGTGTTGAAGTGAGGGTAGAGGCAGAGGAAGCATCACGAATTAGTTCAGCAAACCGTTCAGATTTTATTCGCCTCAGGTGGGCCAACGTGCGCTGTGGCAAATACTGGCTTAAAAACTCCTCTGTCTGAATACTTCCAGCACAAAATTTGTCAGCCAGTTCCTAAAAATACACGTTAGGTTTATTTTATTTAAACTGCAAGATGCAAAAAATAAAGCCAGTGTTCAAAGCTTTTCAGTGATGGGAATATTTTTATAAATAATGTTCACAAAGGTGGTGAGCAGAACTTTATAACAAATGCAGTGCAGTTAACCACTATATGTGATTTAAAAGGATTGTGGTTAGCACAATCACTTAAATTCCCTGCTCACATTCAATCATAACAAACAACGGTCATCGCTAACATCACTAATTAAGAGAAGAATTATTTAACAGACATTAAGGAATTGGGTACCCTATAAGATTAGCTAAACTACCATAACAGAAAATGGGAACAGTGCATTCCCCCCCCCCCCCCCCAGACATAGCTAGGTACAGCTAGGGTTAGTTAGGGCTATATATAGGGTTAGTGTCAAGGTTAGGCTTAATCCAATCTCTAGCGTTGGTTTTGTGTTAAGTTTTAGGCTGAGATTTTGGCCTTTTTCTTAAGGTTAGGATTAACGTAAAATATAAGTATAGAATTTGAGTTAGAGTTAGGATTCTAACTAGAGGGAGGGGGAAGGGGGTAATTGACAGGAGGGAAATGTCCTGTAGCCACAGAAAATGTACCTTTCCTCTACGAAAAAAAATTATTTCAGAATCAAGTATTAGATCTAAATTAAACCAGGATAAAAATGTTAAGTTACTTCAGTGTTTCACATAACATCCATTATGCCCAGACATGTTTTCAAGCTCACCTCAGATTCTTCTTCTGCTTTGGCTGTCTCAGTCTGCAGCAAGGCCAACTTTGTCTCTAGAGATTGCCTGTCCACTAGACTATCTGAAACAAACATTTTCAACATTAATGTCTGTCCACTAGACTATCTGAAACAAACATTTTCAACATTTATGTCTGTCCACTAGACTATCTGAAACAAACATTTGCAACATCAATGTCTGTTTACTAGACTATCTGAAACAAACATTTTCAACATTTATGTCTGTCCACTAGACTATCTGAAACAAACATTTTCAACATTTATGTCTGTCCACTAGACTATCTGAAACAAACATTTTCAACATTTATGTCTGTCCACTAGACTATCTGAAACAAACATTTTCAACATTTATGTCTGTCCACTAGACTATCTGAAACAAACATTTTCAACATTTATGTCTGTCCACTAGACTATCTGAAACAAACATTTTTAACATTAATCTTGTCCACTAGACTATCTGAAACAAACATTTTTAACAATTTGGAAAACAAACAATTGAATCCTGCCAATTACAAACTATTGCATGTAAAAATATTAAAACGAACAACAGCTTTAACTACCAATCATGTTCATTAACTTTTTTAAAGTGAACAAAGTGTGCAATATTAGATAATGACAGGTAAAAATTGTGATAGAAGTTGGCCTGTTGTACAAATGGTATACAGGTTGCTAAGAGGCAAATTGATCCTAAATGTGCACTTGTTTCAGTAGCTAGTCTGGTAGAGCACACCATTACTAACCATCACCAACCCAAAAGTCTCAAAATTAATTCACAGGTAAAAGACAGTAGGTTGTCCCTGAATTTACTCAGCTCTGGTGGGAAGCTGCCTTGATTTTAGGAAAGTACAGACCTCATAACTCTTTATGTACAAAGTTTAAAGAAACAGATAATATCTACTTCATCTGTCCCATATACCATCAGGTCTAAATAGTACTTAAGTTAATTTCCCAGCAAAATATAATGAAACACTGAAAATTTAAAAAAGCTATATTTACTCAAGGTTGCCTTTGTTTCTTGAAAGCTCGACTTGATTGAGCTCAACTTTTCATACCCCGAGGCTATGCAAAGTTTCTTATTCTCAATTTTAGGCTCAAAGGTTAAGTTGTATTCTGCCAAGCTTTTAGTAGATGCTACCAGGTCATCGTGCTCTGTTTGAAGAGCCTTCACCTGTTGCAGGTATAAATAAAGATTTTTATTTAATTGCATTTAATGACTGAAAAGGACATGCATAACAAATTATCTGTTAAATTATTATATACTTAAGAAAAACTTATATAATAACTTTAAACAAAGTATTTAAATGGGGAAATAAACATTTATTTGGAGTTAGTGTAACTATTAAAAACATAAAACTTTTATACTGCAGCAACAGTGCCTTATTTAAATATACAGCAGAAAAATGCAGGTTAATTATTTTTTAAGCCTCTTTATATTTTAGGATACAAGCTCCCAAGTTCATATCTTGCTAACATTTAGATACAAATTATAAAGGTCCTAACATGGGAAAAGGGTGCTAGAGCATGTATGTCTCCATAGACCATTGGATGATTGCACATTGGAGATCTTAGCGCAAGGTTAGATGTTACCCCAATACAAACCTCTATTCTCCACACAGCTGATGGTCCCAAGGGACAGGAGGTTACCTGTCCAACTTGGATTCAGGAGCGAAGTAGGAACTCCCAAAACAAAGCCAGATTAATCATATCATCCAAGGGGTTCCACATGTTTCATTGTCCTAAACAGATTGGAACTGCCCGAGGATTGGAACTTGGGGCTTTCGGGTTAGCAACCATGCGCTAACCCACCCACCCAACCACTCCAACTCCCATAGCTCTATGCTAGAGCATAGGCTACACATAAAAAACATTGGATCTTAGACTATAACTCAAACAACTGCTATAGGCCACCATGTAGGCTATGCAATTACTAATTATATAGTATGCTTAATGCTTTACCTGGGTTAAGTTAAATTTAAACGTCTAGAAGTAACCAAAAAAATGTATATCTATGGACCAACCTGTGGTAAATCATCAATCTAGAAGTAACCAAAAAATGTATATCTATGGACCAACCTGTGGTAAATCATCAATCAGATCTTTCAGCTTAGCTTCATCATCCAACAAATGTTGGAGCTCAGTTCTGTCCAGGTGCTGGAGGAGTGAAATGGCCGCAGCTTCATTCATTCTGGACAGCGCACCAGCGCCATCTGGCAACTGGGTGTCATTTCCTATGGATGGAGGTGTGTAGTAGTTGTTGTGGGGTGACGGATAAGGGCTGGGATTCCCAGAACTGAAGCTGCCGCTACCGTAGTTATGCTGGTACATTGTTCGTATCTACATCCAGTGCTGTGGATAAGAATAAATAGGTCTGAATGTAATTTTAATTTAGCATATTTGGTGTGTTGACACACAAAAATTACATTAACTTAGGCCTGAGGCTTAACAAAAATTTTGACAGACTTTATTTAGTCACTTAAAGGAATTCAGTGAGCAATCTCAGTTAGTTGCAAGAAATAAAGTAAAATAAGTTTAATTTAGTAGATATAATGTTATTATAATATATTACCTCATAAAATTATAAGCCTAGGCCTTTATTATTAATTGATTAATTTGATAGAGTGACTAGGCTTGGGTCACTAGTTAGTCTCTGTAGTGTACACTGTACTGTACCAGACTGTACCTTTGTTGTGTAATCAGAGTGTAATGTCAATGTAGTTAGTCTCATAAAAATTAATTTTTTTTCTCTCTTCAAATTATAAAAAGAATAGCATATAACTGTAGAGCTTAAAAATGCAATTCTTATTCTACAGTAGGGCCTACCAATTTTATGAATTAAGCATAATTGGTTGATTAAATATAAATCCTTTAGTTTTGCAAATTGAATATATAGAAATACGACCAAAAACACAGGTGAAAATGCATGTTTTAAAGCTAATAAGCAAGAAAAGACATGATTCTTCCTTACTATTGAAATCAGTTTGCTCATACCAACGTGAAAGTAAATAGTTTATATAAATTTATAAAATGACATATAATTTATTGCATGTTTTGTGGTGAATTTTAAATTGTAAAATACCACGTTTGGAAGCAGAAAGGTAGATTCTACAGATCAGATGTTGTTTGGACTTTTATAGATCTCTATCAAAATGTTTGTTTAGGCCTAATAAAATTCAATAAGAGTCCACCCACTTCTGTGGGTAGGCCTACATTGGGGAAATTAAAGGTAAAAAGCAAAGGCGGCTGGGTATAGTGCTGACAACATGGACAATCACTTCTTATGTCATGGTAAAAAAACATGAACTCTACTTCATCTGCCCAACAGTCCAACAGATTGCTTGGTCTACAGAGGAATCTTTGATAATGTTTAGGCCTATAACAAAATTGAGTTATAGGCCTATTTGTAAAAACATTAGGCTTAAGCTTTAAAAACTTATTTTGGTCAATATCGGAAAAAATAAAAATCTTTTTGACTACCTAAACGAGTGGAAATTTTAATTCCGTATTAACTGTAAGGTAGGCTACAGAATACAGATATTACCTATTGTTTTGTGATTTTATATGTTTATATTATTTAGGCCTATAACATTTGTCTTTAAAAACCTGATGAAGTTATCATGCAAACTGTTTTATTAGGCCCTATATTATTTTAATTAGGCCTAAATGGAAATCTAGATCTAGATGTGTGTGATAACGAAAGTCAGTAGTGATTAATCGTTGTCTGTCTAGTGAAAAAATGATGACAGTGAGTGATGACCGGAGAAGTTGCTAGATTCTAGAATAGTTAAAATTCCATGAGTAGGACTGAATTAATATTAAATTAAAGTAAATTTCGTAAACTAGCTGTTAAAAGACTAAAATGTAAAATTAAATGAACAGGTTCAGTTATTTTTAATTTTGGCCTAACAAAAATAGTACCTAGATCTAGATAGGCCTAGATCTTCACAGTTACAGTGTTACTACACTAACCAGTGGCCTACTGAATAGTCAATGCAATGCAATGACAAAAAAATAGTTGAATAGTTGAATAGATTTAGATTTTAGATCTAGATCTAGAATCTAGACTAGATCTACCATCTAATTCTAACATAATGAGAATCTAGAAAATGATAACTTTTAACTTTACCTTTTGATAATTAAAATAAGAACATTTGTGAAAATTGGTGTTTATATACATCAAAAGGGTATAAGACAGTATAAGTACGCCTATTCTATAATTAGATCTATCTATGTTATGGATCGAAAATGTTATTTATTTTAGAACATTTGTAAGCTCTGCTTTCGCAATTACATTTCCTTGCTTATGGGGTGTTTAGTCAGCCAAGAATGTGGACAGTATCCAGAATACAAAAAAGTATCGTTATCGTTTGGTTAGCTAGGACAACAAGCCAATTTTAAAAGATAAATGGTATCGATAATTTTATAGTCGATTAGCACCGTCATTATTTTGTTGGAGCAGGGAGAGTAATGGGCCCTTGTAAATTTCGCAAAAGTATTATTATTACTCTTAATTTAAATTTTAAACAAAAAAATAAATAAATAAAGATATTAAATAGACTAATATTTAATATTATATACATATATAATTAACTAGTATATATATATATATATATATATATATATATATATATATATATATATATATATATATATATATATATGGGGTCATCCATACACGTCACGCTTTTTTGACGATTTTTACCCCCCCTCCCCTCCGTCACACATCGTCACAAAAAGCCAGACCCCCCCCCTAAAAAGACGTCACACCTTAGCCTACAACCCCCCCCCCCCTCAAAATTGCAGTTTAATTTTTCTTAAAACATCGATATTTTTCCAAAATCTTGTCTGAACTCTATCGAAATAAAGTATTTTTAATCAATTCCTATTTCAATTTATTAAAACCGTTTTCTAAACGCGAAAATTCGTTTAAAATTCCGTTTTCTGACATTGCTTTTTTATCATGCAAAAGTGTGACGTCACACCAACACCACCTGAACCCCCCCTCCCCTCCCCCTCGTCACACACCGTCACAAAATTAAGGAACCCCCTCCCCCCTACGAGTGTGACGTCATTTATGGACGACCCCTATATATATATATATATATATATATATATATATATATATATATATATATATATGTATATATATATATATATATATATGTATATATATATATTTATTTATTTATTTATTTAATTATATTTATATATATATAAAGCAATGTATAACTGTGTGTCTGTTTGTGTGTCTGTATGTTTGTGTCTGTCTTTTATGCATTACTACACCGCAGTGGCGTAGCGAGGTCGGGTGTCACCCGGTGCGGCACTTAATGGTGTCATCCCACAGAGGCTTAGCGACCCTTCCCGGGGACAAATTTTCGATTTGCACCCCCCCCCTCAAGTTTTTCTCTATATATTTTGCTATTTTTTGCCTTTGTGTCACCCCCTAAATGGTGTCACCCGGTGCGGTCCGCACCCCCCGCCCCCGCCCCCCTCGCTACGCCCCTGCTACACCGTTCATCCGAATGCCATGAAACTTTTGGGAGTTGATGAGAACACCGCAGAGAAGGGTTCTGCAAAAAAAAAATAATAATAATAAATATTCTTTTAATTTCGCAAGGGCGGCGCCACGGGAGGGTGTAATTTTTCTGTATAAAATAAAAGTCGAATGCGGTCTGACACCGTTCATCCGAGAATGAAACTTTGGGGAGTTGATTAGAACACTCTAGGGGAGATTTCTGTAAAACAATCTTTTTTATAATTTCGCAAGGGTGTCGCCCCGGGAGGGTGCGATTCTTCTCTATATATAGTATATTGAAAAATGAAAGTTAAATGCGCTTCGACACCTCTCATCCGAGTGATATAAAAATTTAAGGAGTTGATGAGATTAGTCCCGGGAAGGTTTCTGTTAACAAAATAATTAAAGTTTGATATGAGCGGCGCCCGGGAGGGTGCGATTTTCGTCAATTCACAAAAGGCGCCTTGAGTTCCAGAGCGGCTATGTTAGCACTTGACATTCTTTAATCGTGCGTCCTGCATAGCGGTATTAGGGGTACTACTATATTCAGCGTTAAAACTTCAACAGGCGCAACCGCCGGCGCCCTTAAATTGCACGACCCAAAGCGCCCCGGGTTCCCCTGCGAGCACGATGGCGCCTCTGCGGTAGTGTAATCGGGGATCCCGAGAGCGCCCCCTACTTCCCTGACACATGGGCGGTCACCGAAGTGTGTTCTACCTCATTATTTCGGTGAGTGATTATGATTAACGTACACTCAAGGTTTTTGTGGGGTAGTGTAGTAAAACCCGTGTTCCGATATTTATGATCCAAGCGCAGGCATTGTTTACATTTAAATAACTCACTTTTAGAAAACAAGCTCACGCGTCTAAGAATATGGGATTGGTAACGCATTAATGAAACCTTTCTTTAAAAGCTTGTTATTATTTTAAAAAAATATGTTTGTTGTATTAGTAAAATAATTTTAGTGCATTTGATAAATACTATTTTTTCGTATAATTTACTTTTAAAATTTTACTTTAAAAGTGTGGTCCTATACCATTCTTTTTATTTTCAAGTGGTACTATGAGTGTTTTGCAAAATAAAATTAATTAATTAATTAATTTAAAAAACTCATCGAATGAAGGTTGTTTTTTATGCTGTCAGGATAACTAACCCTGTATGACAAGGGCATTTGTTTATTTCGGTTGTTGCCCTTTAATCGATTTCGGGTCTTCTACAGTTACACGCAGTGTTAAAATTGTTTCCGCCACCATGTAATTGGGTTCATAAGTCAAGCAAAAGTTGTTGTTGTGACAGTTTGCAAAATAGATAAAAGCCATTCAACTCGAATTAAGTACAGAAAGTACACAAGATTTATTTTCTCAATTTAGAGTTAAGTTTTTTTTCTTGAACAAAAGAAAAAGATAACCCTTTAATTAAAGTCAACACATTTTAAGTCACTCGCATTAATTGCCCTTTGACTATTACTCCGAACTTCAAGTTTTTAAACATTTTAGAATCCGGCGGCTGTGTACAATTATTTGTTTATACGACTCCTCAAAAGTAATTTCATATAAATTACTTTAGGCTACAAATTTAATATGTGAAATAGGCAGAATTTTATATCGTGCTTAGAAAGTGTTTAGAAATAAAAATTTAAAACGAATATAATTAAAATGAACACCAGTGGTCGTCATTAATGAGTTGACATTTTGGGGGTCGTCTTTTATCATGTCGACCCTATGTGATTCAACGATACCATATAAGGCTCTCTTGTAGACTTCTCGTGACATGCTTTATTTCTATAAATTTATTGTTATGTTAACATTAAGGAGGAAGAATAATAACATGACGTCAGTGGCGTAGCTAGGATTTTTGGGTCCCTACGCAAAAAGTGTTAGTGGGCCCCTCAGAGGCGTAGCGACCCTTCCCGGCGACCGGGGACAAACTTTCGATTTGCACCCCCCCCCCCCATCAGACTTTCAATTTGCACCCCTCTAAAACTTTCGATTTGCACCCCCCATCAGACTTACGATTTGCACCCCCCCCCCCCTCAAACTTTCGAAAAAGGGCCCCTATTTGCCTTGGGCCCCTATGCCTTGCTTACGCTAGCTACGCCACTGCATGACGTTAACATAAAAGCGAAAGAATCATGATACACCTTACCAAAAAAATAAAACGTTAAATTAATGTGAGATCGCATAAATTTAGAATAGGTGGAGACAGATAATGAAAGTCCAGAAGAAAACAGGCAGTGGGATGAGGTTATTGTATACACGGTGCCAGTGAACCTATGTATACCGCGTACCTGTAAAACATTTTATACATTATACGTGTAGACCTATAAATACAAGATACATAAAGACAAATTACACACAATGTATACATAGAATCTGTGGATCTATTTAAACATGTTCATGTGGTGCCTGTAATAGTATTCATACATGATACCTGTAAACCTACTCATACATGGTACCTGCAGATCTGTTTATACCTTATTATATGCAGAAATATTTTACTTGGTATATGATTTATGTAGAACCGTTGCATGTTTGAGCTGTAATCTCCATACTCATGTTTTATGTATGCACATCAGATCTAGCTTCAGTGCTTTAAAAGTTTTATGAATTGAATATATATATATATATATATATATATATATATATATATATATATATATATATATATATATATATATATATATATATATATATATATATATATATATATATACGTTGTGTGTTTTCGAAAGACTTGTGTGTACAAGTGGATTTTCTGACTTGGATTTTCTCATTGACTACTTTGAAGATGTATACATAGGGCGTGTTCGACGTGGTCGCCGTTCCCCGCCTCGGTACCCTGTGAGCCTCTGGAACCAACCCAATCGCGTCAAAAACGAGTTGCCCAGAAGCAATAATGCATTGGAAGGCTGGCACAATGCCTTTAATGCAATGGTCAGTGTTTGCTATCCCACTAGAGCAAGACTAGCACGTAAATTACAGCAGCAACAGCATGCAACTGCACTTTTAAGAAGCCAGATTGACGCTGGACAGCAGCCAGCAAAGAAACGTAAACGTTATGTTTGTGTTGACAATACAATAAAAACAATGGTTTTACGTTACGAACCTGAAGACCCAATCACATTTTTGAAAAATGTTTCGCGTGTTTTGAACATTACTGTTTTATAACTACTTTTTAAAAATTTGTTTATACATTATCAATTATTATACCTTTCAACTTCAAGGAGTAATTTTGTTTTAATTTTTACGTTTTCAAATGAAATGCTATTGTTTTGTTAAGTGTAACAAATTCATTTTATTCACAATTATTATTGGCAAAAACGTAATCCAAACAATTTGACGGTTAATAAAAAAAAATGTGCACATCAAACAAAATTCCTCGTATATACTATTAAAATTTTTTGTGAGAAATTTTGTCTGAGATATTTTGTTTCATATCACTTGTCCATGATGTCATTTGTCTTGATATATTTTGTCTTGGTATCTTTTGTCCGTGGGATCACTAGTCCTATAGATCATTTGTCTTGAGATCATTTGTCCTGAGATCAATTTTCCGTGAGATATTTTGTCTGAGATATTTTGTCTGAGATCATTTCTCCTGAGATCATTTCTCTTGTCACCATCTATATATATATATATATATATATATATATATATATATATATATATATATATATATATATATATATATATATATATATGTGTGTGTGTGTGTGTGTGTATGTGTGCTACATTAAAAAATTTCAATTAGGCATTTCACAGAAAGGCGGGGCATAGCAGTACAGAGCCAGATTGCTAACCTGAAACTGTTGCGTTCGAATCCGGCTGGGCATAGTGCTGACCACATTATTATCTGCCCCATGTGTCCTGGGCACAAAAGAGAAGAGACGATAATTCCACTACTTCCCCACCCCTCCACTACTTCCCAAGCCCTCCACTACATTTACACCCCTCCACTACATTTACACCCCTCCACTACATTTACACCCCTCCACAACTGCCCAAGCCCTCCACTACTTCCCAGCCCCTCCATTACTTCCCCACCTATCCCTTATTTTCCGACCCTTTCTCTGTCAAACCAACTATCCACCACTTGTACACTCTTGCATTACTCCCCCTCCCGCCACTCTTCCCCCACCAACTTTCCTCACACCAATTCCCTCTCTAACCATTTCACAGACTAAAATAAATAACCCCTGACAATTCACACTGACTCTCCTAACAATCACCCCCCCCCCCTGGAAAATAGAAAATGTTGACCGAAAATATCAAGTGCCCCCCCCCCCCCCCCCCCCCCCGGAGAAGAAAGTCTGGAAGAAACACTGGTCCTAAACAGACATTTTCAGTTAAAAACAAGACGCATTTTAATTTTTTTTTAAAAAGCTCATAACTTTCTTAGAAATAGGGCTTGTAAGTCTACGGGCTCGAAATCTACTAGCTGCATAGTACGAGAACGAGAAGTTGTGACCTACTTACAAGCCCCATTGACGTATGGCATTAAATTTGATGTTTCTTTTCTGATGAAAGCAAACTCTATCAGACGGAATTGTGTAAATTGTATTTTGTTATTGTATATACCAGGGGTCGGCAACCTACGGCTCGCGAGCCGCATGCGGCTCCTTTGATATCAAGATGCGGCTCTCCAGCTCCTTGAACAAATACTAAAATCTTAACCAAAAAATAAAATATTTGAAATAAAAATGTTATTGGCTCTTTAAAACCAGGGAAATTTTGAAAATTGTAACTTTTGGCTCTTCCGCTTCAAAAGGTTGCCGACCCCTGGTATATACCTATTCGTGTGTTTTGTAAAAATCCTTTTCTTTTCACAGTTAACTTTCGCGCCATGAGCGGCATTATGGCACCTCTGTCGCTTCAGCTTAGGTTGCTACCTTTGACAAGTTTGGCAATTATCAATAGGTATGTACGTTTTATGTTTTTAATTTAGTTTTTTACTTCATTTATCCACGAGTACATGCTGTTTGAAAGGTTACACACCCAGGCCAAATTGTGCTGTACTGCATGTGATTTTTATGGCTGTTTTGTGTGTTTGTATATCGTTTTAGAACGACTTATGCGGTTTTAAATCAAGTTCAGTAACCCCACTGGATATTAAACATGAGTTGAGCTATAACTGCTTTAATAGTTTTAGCATGTTTCACCAGATTGTGTACGATATTCAACTTATTTTCAGGTACAAAAGCTTCCAGCCTTCAAAAAACTGAACAAGTTTTTAGCGCAATTTCCTTACAGGAATTGCGATTATTAACTCGTCATTTCTGGATTGATGTGTGTCCGCAGCTTTAAGTCGTATCTCCTTCTCAACGAAGCAATATCGAGGACTAGTTCCAAAGCAAATATGTTAAGCAAGTTCCGAGGATGATTGTGGGCCAAAAAAATTCCCGGAATTCATTCCTGGATTTCCCGGAAAAGCCAAAAAACCTTTAAAAAATGCAGTTTTTGGCCCATATCTCGGCAACCAGACCACTTAGCGACTTGAAACATTTATCAATCGATTCCTGCTATAATTTAGAACAATATTGCCGAAGAAAGTTTTCAAAAATATCCTTTCGTTCAGTCACAAAAAAATTAATTAAGGAAATTGCGCTTAAATCGTCACTAGACTTTTTATTAACTTGTTTTATCTGAAATTTAATGATTATTCAAGAAGAAATTTTTTTTATGCCGCTCATAAATTCAAAGTTTGATGTTATAATGGCATGTGAAGTAAACTTGAAAAAAAAATGTTGCTCTGTTTCAAAACTTCAGTTATTAATGTACTAGGAAAAATTTGTGATGAACCTTTTACATTTTGATCTGAATTGCTGTCCATTTATACTTCTTAAACCAGAAAAGGAAAGATCACAATAAAATTGTTTTAAAACTTTCACAATTTTATTCAATGTCTTAATCAAAATCACTTTTAAAATTCAAATAACAATATTTTAAATCTATGTTACCTACTTCAACGTTTATATAATTTTGTTTTTATCAAAGGACAAAATGAACGCTTAAAACAATTCAGAAAGCGAAGAATCTCAGCCATTATACTTCACTGAAAGCTGCTATAGGAATAACCAGCGCATCACTAATGTCTTGAGGTTTTATCAAGCTAAATTCCAATTTGGTGACATACGGCTAATAGCCTAATAGGCATCATTCGTTCAAGAGAGATGTTGAATCTAACAGTGCGATGCCGTAAGTATCAGTTTCTACCACTTAGCGCATCGCTTATCTTACTTAACTCTTTGCCTTTTCATTTGTGTTAAAATAACTTTAATATATATTATTTTTTAAAAAAAGTGTATATGTTAACAAAAATGTTCATCCAAACAAACGAAAAACATTATTTCTATTTAATTGTAATTATGAAATAATTATTAAAATACTTTCAAAAAAGTAACAGTCACATTTTTTTCAACAGCATATTATTTACTGAAAAAACTCTAATAATTCATTTAGCTTTGTTGATTTGGTTTCATTTTCGCGTCTTACATGCATAACGCCATTCATTTTATCTCTATCCCTTTCCCAGCACTTCCGAATCACTTTTAAAAAAAAATCAGACTTAAAAATATATTACCTAATATTACTGCCTCCCTACCTCCATTCACAATATAGAATTTTTTAAAAATAGTTTAAATTATCAACCGTGAAAGTATTAACTTCTTTTTTTTCAAATCAGTGTTAAGAAAATGTAGATTGACCATTTTTCTTTGCACCTTAAACAATAACGTTTATAAAATTCTCAATAGCTGCTACAAATATTTTTCAGTTATATTTCTTTCAACAATAAAGTGTAACTTAATTCTTCCAATTTCCCCCATTCACGAACACCCACCCCCTGTAATGAATGTGCCGCTATATCTGGAATACTCCTGAGCAAGTTTTCTTTAGGCTAGTAGGAGGACGCTTAGAGCTCCGATTCCCAAGAAGACAAACTCTGTTGAATATGTAAAAAAATATATTTATTTCAAACACAAGTTTTAAAAATGATCTCTAGGCTCTTTTTAACGTGTTTAATAGTAAGCGATGTTAAACCTAAAAGTCTCGAGTTCAAACCCCCGGACAGTTGAGGTCAGTAGCGTAGCGAGGGGAGACGGACATATGTTGGAAAAATAAATTGAACGGTTGAGGGGGGTGCAAATCGAAAGTTTGAAGGGGGGGGGGGGTGCAAATCGAAATCTTGAGGAGGGGGGTGCAAATCGAAAGTTTGAGGGTGGGGTGGGTGCAAAATCGAAAAGTTTGTCCCCTGGCGCCGGGAAGGGTCGCTACGCCTCTGGTTGAGGTTCGATTACTTTATAGTCTGCTCTTGGTTGGACAAGTGTTACGGAAGTTAATCCAGAAAGAAAAACAAGTTAAAATCAGAGTCAACAGACTGTAACAGTTTTGTTGGAAATTTTTCATTCCAACATTACAATTAAAAATGTAGAAGAAATAAATCATAAAATTACTATAGTCATTCAAAATAATGTAGGGATTACTTAATTTTTAAAACAATTGACACAATTTACTATCTCTCTAGCAGTTAAATAGTCATTACTGGCTCAAACTACGCTCATTAGGCAAGCAGAAAGAAATAGGGCTGAAATTAGAAAAATATCTCCCAAATATCGCTCGTGGGTTTTTGCGACCCATAGATTTATATTGACGTTTATCACACAAGGACCTGTTCGGTAGTGGGACAACCTCCTAGCGACCTCCTGTAGTTATCATAGCGAGTGATCTACCGATAGACCTCTCTGCCCCATATCACTTTACTGAACGGTTGATGGTTTTTGTTCCCAGTAATTTAAATAACTCGTTATGTTTTATCCGATTATACCGCTTCACCACGGGTTCCATGACAAATGTTCTCATGACAAATAATCTCAGACAAGATATCCCAGACAAAATATCTCATGGACAAATTATCTCATGACAAAATAATGATCTCAGGACAAATGATCTCAGGACAAATGATCTCAGGACAAATGATCTCAAAGATCTCAGGACAAATTATATTAGGATAAATTATATCATAGAGAAAATACATCACAATAAAATATGTCCTGTGCTAATGATAGTTTTAGTCGACTTTAACATTTTAAAAAATTGATTGTCGTATATTGTTAATTTTTTAAAAACGTTATTCAGAGATATAATAAAATTCCATTCCAACATCACAATTAAGAACGAAGAAGAAGTGAATCATAAAACTACTATTGTCATCTATATATATAATTCTCTTCTGGGAGCCGTTAGAAAACAAGCTGCAAGCGCCTCCTTGCAGTCCCCTCTCTGTCTCTGTCTCTCTATCACTATCACTACCACCTCCACCCCACCCCCACATTGTCTGGTGAGTTGTGGTCACGCTAAATGTTTACAAAGCTAAATGTTTACAAATCGTAGAGCCGTAGAGTCGGGTTTCTATTAGGGGCAGATAATTTCGTTCGATTTTAAACTAACAGGAGGTAACTAAGAAATAACTAAGAGGAGGCTGCTTTCACGGGGGGGGGGGGGGGAGGGTGTAGGGTCGGGGTTAGTGGAAAGGGGGGGGGTAGTGTTTTAAAGCAAATATTTTCAATGGCAGCATTGGTACTGTCGAATTCACAAATTATGAATTACTGAAAAGTAGAAAATAAAACAACTAAATAGCGGCGTATGATACGCTGCGGGTCGGCTCGTTCAATATAATGTAAGGATTACTTTTTGTTTTTAAATGACTGACTTTACTATCTCTCTAGCAGTTAAATTGTCATTGCTGGCCAAAAAATACGCTCATTCGGGAAGCAGAATAGAATAGGGTTGAAATTATTTTTTAAAATATCTCTTAAACAGGGGTGTCTCGTGGGTTTTTGCGACCCATAGGATTATGCTGAACGTTTATCACACAAGGGCCAGTTCAGTAGGTGGACGACCTCCTAGCGATTGCTGTAGTTATCATATCACACAAGGGCCTGTTCGGTAGGTGGACGACCTCCTAGCGATTGCTGTAGTTATCATATCACACAAGGGCCTGTTCGGTAGTGGGACGACCTCCTAGCGATTGCTGTAGTTATCATATCACACAAGGGCCTGTTCGGTAGTGGGACGACCTCCTAGCGATTGCTGTAGTTATCATTGCGCGCGTTCTACCGATAGACCACTCTGCCCCCCCCCCCCATATCAATTTACAGAACGGTTAATGGTTGTTTTTTTTTTTTTTCCAGTAATTTAAATTATTGATTTTGTTTTATTATCTTACGGGCACATGTTCTCAGACAAATTATCTCACGGACAAATGTTCCCAGACAAATTATCTCACGGACAAATGTTCTCAGACAAATTATCTCACGGACAAATGTTCCCAGACAAATTATCTCACGGACAAATGTTCCCAGACAAATTATCTCACGGACAAATGTTCCCAGACAAATTATCTCACGGACAAATGTTCTCAGATAAATTATCTCACGGACAAATGTTCTCAGACAAACTATCTCACGGACAAATGTTCTCAGACAAAATCAGTGTTTCTTCCAGGTATCTGTTCTGGGGGTCTCTGCCCCTCCCCCCTCCCCCCCCCCCCCCCCCCCCCCCCCGAAGAGAGTCTACCACCCATCCGAACGAAATGGAATTTATATAGAAAATATATACTTTTAACAGCGTCCTCAGGTATGACCGAAATATAACAATTGCCTTTAAATAATAGGTGTATTGTCCACAGTGCGCGAATATCTCCGCCCTTAATTAAGCCCTTTCTCCGCCAACACAGCCGGTGGGTACCTTGCTAAATGTATGTTTTTATTTGGTCGACGACAAATTCCCGAAAGACACTTTCCCGAATGCCGTTTGCCCGAAGGCCGTTTGCCCGAAGGCCGTTTGCTCGAAACATTATTAGTATTTATAATAACTTATAATACAAATTGGTCATTGTTAGTAAAAAATCAATAATAATCAACACAATTCTAAGAATAAAAATAAACTTTTTTAAAATTTTTTTTAAAAGTTAGCTTTTATTTTTTTAATTGAGAAATAGAAGTAAAGAAATAATTTTTATTCTTTAATAAATGTAAGGTGCTGTTGGCAGCGGTGACTTTAAATTCTCTCTTGATGTCCATTCGGGCATTTGTCGCCTTCGGGCAAGTGTCCATTCGGGAAAAAAATCTTCCCGTTTTCGTAGCCGTCTCAACAATTGATGAGTGGGCCGTTTAATCTAGCTTTGTCCACGTAATGTGGTAACATTGTCTCATAAGCGGCAAGCCTACCTACTATGCTGCCTATCAAAATCATTAGTTTTAATATAAGAATATTTATATTTCTAATAGCAATTACCAAATGTTTGATGTAATGTAATAAACTATGTGACATATAAAGCATTACCTGAATGTAATTGTTGTTCTCCGTTGGTTGAATAAGAAAACTCTTTTTCACTCCAAGCGAGCTCAAAATTGTCCACTGGGTCCCAGTTATCTGTCGGAAGAGTTTTCAAAGGAATTTAGATCCTAACCCATGTCAAGTATTGATCTATTGTTATACTTGCAGCCGTGGCATACACTAGGGCGGGTTCAATGTTTAGAATTTAAAAAGTGTTACTTGTCATAAGAACAATACGCTTACGTTCTTAAAATATTTAAGAAACATATTTCAATACGAGAAAAATGGCCCGTTGAGGAAGGATACAACGGGCGCTAGGTTGATAGTGCTATTTTCTAGGTACTTTAATTTATATAAAATACTAGCCGTCCCGGCCAGGCCCTGCTCTGGCTTCTGTGAAAAACCTTCCTGTTAAAGACCATTACCTGTGTGTTTAGTAATCATCATAAACCCGGCATTGCCCACCCAAACCACAACCAACCAAAACCAAAACAACAAAACGCAAACATAACGCTAACACAATTACAAATACAAACGAAAACAAAAACCTAACAACAAACCCAACCACAACCACAAACACCAATACAAACACAAAGAAAAAACAAACAAAAAAGCAAACGAAAACAAAAACCTAACAACAAACCCAACCACAAACACCAATACCAACAAAAAAAAAAAAAAAAACAACGAAAAAGCAAACGAAAACAAACCAAATTCAAACGCAAAACCAACCAAAAACACAAATACAAACCCAAAAAAAAAAAAACACAAACAAAAACGAAAAAAGAAAGAACAAAAACGAACCAAATCAAAACGCAACCACTAACGCAAACCCACCTAAACACAAAGAAAACACTAACGCGAACATAAACGCCCGGGGCGGAATCACCTGTTTTAGCTTAATGAACGACTATAGTACCCCAACTTATTCATAGTCTTTTGCACTCACTTAAACGAACGCGCCTGTTTCAATTTGATGAACAATTTTAATACTCCAAGCTTATCCGTAAAATACCTACAACATTTGCACTTGATCAATCCCCGCTAATTATGTAATTATTTTTTTTCCCAACACCAAAACAAAGTAATTAAAAAGTAAATTATTTTCACGGAATGCAATGGGTTTATAAAGGGAAGTAATTGTGTTTTTCCTAATTTATCAAAGGGAAGTAAGTGCTATAGGACTAAATAAAGACATAATTAGAATTTTTGTAAAAGATGATATTTTTTTTAAAACTTGTGTTTAATGGACATGCCGACAATTATTACTGTAATTTGAAAAATGAAAATTATTTCCCAACACTTTCAATAGTAATTTTTTAGCTCATAAATTTAGACAAATGCGCACGATAATTTTCTAACACTTAAATTCGTACAATTCCAACGACATACAAATGCATTACATACAGAACTGAGCTTTATATATTAGATAAACTAATATAAAAATAAGGCCTGCCGAACAAGAGATGCTTACGTTGTATTACATAAGAGTGTTGGATAAGCTAACTCTAAAGAATATTGATGAAAGGGTCCCACTGGCAGATGTCATATTCAATGAGACCGCTTTGCCGGGAGACTTAGTCTCTACAGAAACGGTATTGTCAGTGCAGTGGCGTAGCTAGGATTTTTGGGCCCCTATGCAAAAATTATCAGTGGGCCCCTTCGTCAGCCGTTAGGCCAGTGGCGTCGCTAGGTCGGGTGTCACCCGGTGCGGCACTTCGTATTGTCACCCCCTCCCAGGAAACAAAGCATATATATATATATATATATATATATATATGTATATATATATATATATATACATATATATATATACATATATATATATATATATATATATATATATATATATATATATATATATATATATATATATATATATATATATATATATATATATATATATATATATATATGTGTGTGTGTGTCGGCCTACATAGGCCTAAAATTTATATATATGCCACATACTGGTACACGTACGTGTTTAAGCTTTAATCACTGCTGACTTAATAGTAACGATGTTTATCTACAGTCTGTTTATAATACAGTTGGATGTAGCATTGTTTTCTTTATAGTTTACGTTTACGTCGTGGTGTCACACCCCCCCCCCCCTCTTGATATAATTGTCGATTTGTACTTAGAAGACTATTTAACTTTAACTAATGGATCTGGAAAATGGCATTTCATTCTATAAATTTTACAATTTTTTGCCTTTGGTGTCACCCCCCCTAAATGGTGTCACCCGTTGCGGTCCGCACCCCCCGCCTCGCCTTCTCTACGCCTCTGCGTTAGGCTACAGAGGAGTTAAACGAAGAGATCAACTTCTACTTACGATGGATATTTTTTAATATATAAATATTCTGAAGGCAACATTTTGTATTTTATATGTCCTGATTTTGTATTTATACTATACTAGCCGTCCCGGCCAGGCCCTGCTCTGGCTTCTGTGAAAAACCTTTCTGTTAAAGACCATTACCTGTGTGTTTAGTAATCATCATAAACCCGGCATTGCCCACCCAAACCACAACCAACCAAAACCAAAACAACAAAACGCAAACATAACGCTAACACAATTACAAATACAAACGAAAACAAAAAACCTAACAACAAACCCAACCACAACCACAAACACCAATACAAACACAAAGAAAAAACAAACAAAAAAGCAAACGAAAACAAAAACCTAACAACAAACCCAACCACAAACACCAATACCAACAAAAAAAAAAAACAACGAAAAAGCAAACGAAAACAAACCAAATTCAAACGCAAAACCAACCAAAAACACAAATACAAACTCAAAAAAAAACAAAAAAAAAACAAACAAAAACGATAAAAGAAAGAACAAAAACGAACCAAATCAAAACGCAACCACTAACGCAAACCCACCTAAACACAAAGAAAACACTAACGCGAACATAAACGCCCGGGGCGGAATCACCTGTTTTAGCTTAATGAACGACTATAGTACCCCAACTTATTCATAGTCTTTTGCACTCACTTAAACGAACGCGCCTGTTTCAATTTGATGAACAATTTTAATACTCCAAGCTTATCCGTAAAATACCTACAACATTTGCACTTGATCAATCCCCGCTAATTATGTAATTTTTTTTTTCCCAACACCAAAACAAAGTAATTAAAAAGTAAATTATTTTCGACTAATGCAATGATTTTTAAAGGGAAGTAAGTGTTTTTCCTAATTTATCAAAGGGAAGTAAGTGCTATAGGACTAAATAAAGACATAATTAGAATTTTTGTAAAAGATGATATTTTTTTTAAAACTTGTGTTTAATGAACATGCCGACAATTATTACTGTAATTTGAAAAATGAAAATGATTTCCCAACACTTTCAATGGTAATTTTTTAGCTCATAAATTTAGACAAATGCGCACGATAATTTTCTAACACTTAAATTCGTACAATTCCAACGATATACAAATGCATTACATACAGAACTGAGCTTTATATATTAGATAGTCATAGGCATATCCCAAAAACCATGCACTTCATCTCATTCATGAAAAAAGTCGCATTTAGAGTTTCTTTCAGGCAACTCTACTTGGGAGGAGGGGGCTTAGCCCCCCCCCCCCCCCCTCACACACACTCCAAAACATGTCTACCGTCCCATTCAACGAAATATAATTATATACTTTTTCCAGTGTCCGCCCCCTTCCAGAAAATTCTACCCCCGCCCCCGAAAATTTCAAGTACCCCCACCCCTCTCCGGGGAGGAAAAAGTCTGACAGAAACACTGGTCGCATTTGTAGATCATACAAACTAAAGGAAGAATCTGGGCGGGGCTTCGCCCCTACCGGAAAAGATGCTTGAAAAAAACTGCACGCTAAACACTTTTTAGATTAGAAAAAGTTCCCCCCTCCAGGGAGGAAAAGTCTGGAAGAAACACTGGTGTCGCGCTTAGCCACTACGCGAAGAATTGCATTAAAGAAATTGCAAGAAAACCACTTTTTTAGATTAGACACATTAATTAGGCGGTAATTTTATTATTGAGTATCGATGAGGAAATTTCTTTTGAGTTGGGGAGGGGGGGCGCTCAGACGTTCTTACGCGGGGGTGGGGCTTCGCCCCTACCCGAAGAATTGTATGAAAGAAACTCTTCATGCAAACCACTTAGATTAGACAAAATTGCCTTGTTATTCAATGTTTACTCGAGAATCAATGACGTCATATTACTCCGGCTTGATATTATTTTCTACTCTATGCTAAATGTGACGTCATATTTCGTTTTCGTTTCACTGTAAAAGTTTTTAAATTGCTTGTGTTTTCTCTAGAGCGTTCTTGTCAGGTACATACACAGATAGATACACAGACAGCGAAACTATTTGTATTAACTAGCCAGTAAGCCTGTCGCTTGTCAGGCATAATGGAAAAAAAAACGGAAAACTAAGTGGAAAATATAACGACCTAATGAGGTAATATTTCTTCCAATTTTAGTTCTCTAGTTTCGTAAATCACCCCCACACTATATTCAACCCTTTTCCACCCAAACCGCTAGGTTGTGTGTCAGTCCTTCCTTCCTTCTTTCCGTCATTGGTATAGCAGCTTCTAAAGCTGGAAAAATGTTCTGTGTTTTTCATAGAAATCTCTTAATTTATTTGTTATAGTCCTTTAGGTCCTGTTTATTTATTCAATAGTTAATACACAGCAAGTTAATTAGAGACAAAGTGTGCAATTTGTTTGCCTCAGTTAATTAACCTTGCCATGTCCGCTTCAGTATTATGTTTTTCATCGTCGGCTTATGAGGACTGATACAGATTTACAATAGAAATACTGCTTTCTGACATATACTTTCATTCATTTAAAATAGTTTACTTATACGTTATACAAAACGTCTAACTTTAATTTTTTTTAAACCTTAAACTGCAAATGTGTAATTATTTAATGGTGATTCAATGTTCTGTGAAGAGAACTACTTTGTTATTTAGCTTGAGATTGTCTGAAATAATATAAATACTTTTTCCCCTCTTAAATTTATTAGTTGAGAGTTTCCAGTCTATGTCTTAGCTTTGCTTTAAATAACTCTTTTAAGTCAATGTCAGAGTATTTTTTTAGAATAAATCGTTACTTTATTCCTAAAAAAAACAAACATTCGATCTTTAATACTAGTCTATTTTCGTCTTCTGTTCTTTGTCTAGTCGTGTTAATTAAATTAAGTGTGATTGCTTTGTTTGTTGTCGCTGTTTGGTGGTTTTTTATATTTTCGCAAATGTTTGCTTTGCTGTTTGTATTAACTTACATTCTAAATAAATGTTTTTCTCAGTTTTTTGTATGTTTTGTTTTCTTGTTTGACATGTTATTTTGACATTTTGATTTGACTTTGTATTGTGTAAAACTGGTGTTGTGTTAAAGATAGTTTGTTGGGTATTTCTTTTTCTTTTGGCGTAATGGGTTTATTGTGTATGGTTCTAAATGTATCTTTTATATTTATTGTATAGTGTTTACTGGCATAACTATATTTTGTGTAAAGAGTGTGTTTTTTTTTAATTTAGATGTCTTATTGTTTATTGTTTCCTTGGAATGTTTCTAGCGTTTCTTTATAAATGCTAACCATGTAATGTTGTGCTAATTTATGATAATGTGTTTCTATCCTAGTTCTCTCTAGGTGTTTTAATTGGAAGATCTTTATTTATTATGAATGTCATTTAGCCCTATTCCCCAATTTAATTTGCTATACATTTGATATATTTTGTTTGTTAAAGATTCTACTTTTGTGTTTTTTGAAAAAAATGTATATCGTAATACGCTGTTAAATGCATGTATTGATATACGCGAAACGTATACGGTTTGAAGTGTGTTAGTGTGATGTTTTGTCTACCCCGTGTATGATGTATGTGTACGTATGTGTTGGGGTAATCAGCAGTGGTCTGTACGGTTTAAGATGAATGATTGTGTGAGGATTGTGTTTGGATGATTCTACAGATCAAAAGGCTTTGAAAAAACAATAATTAAAAATTGGATACCTTATTTACTTTTCTCCAACGAGTAGAGTGCGTCAGATTACAATCAATATTTTATTACATCCCCCACCCCCCATAATAACATACCAAACGACCTAACCATAGTTTCCTATAACATATCAAACGACCTAACCATAGTTTCCTACTCTATTTACATCCTAGAGTTACTTGTAATATAAACAAAGAAAAATAAAAAATAATTATTAAAAGAAATAGTCTTTTATAAGCTAAAAGACGGCAGGGAAAAAGATTCTAAACTGATTTCTAAACTTTTTGCTATTATATGCAACTTTCTTCCTACGCGTGTGCCCAATACATCGATATTTCCTCTCCTTGATATTACTTCCCTGTCAAAACTAACTGAGGAAACATTCAACTCCCAAATTATACTACCTTTTAGGATGTAAATATACATTTTTACAAAACAAGAACTAGTTGTTAAATTAAGAAAAATGTTATAAAAATATGGCTACCTGGTTTAATTGATGAATCAAATATATTGCCGACATAAAATATGTTATCCCGTCTCGTTCCGTTAGACACTGCAAGCCGATATAAAGCATTTTCAACCACAGAGAAAAACTTGAATTCAAAAGGGAAATATCCTGAGCAGTAGCAGGGGAACCTGCTCCAATCAGCGCATTCTTCCGGCTCCCAGCAAACTCCCTGTAGATCACAGTACTGAAAAATAGACATTGATACTTCAGTAGCAGTTGATGAATCCTGTATGATAAGAAGTTGCATGTCCATACCACAGTGTGAAATTCAATAACATCTTTTAAAGGACAGAAAGTAGAGGCACACAAAAAATATATATTTGTTTTTAATTTTGTAAAATAAATTTGAAATGCACATATTGAAATGAGGAACTAGAAGCGAATAACAGAATGGGAAATAATATACCTCACCATCACCGCATGAAACCACGAACCACACACCGTACCAAGCTATTGTTATTACACAATGCTTTTAAAATTGAACAATTGTTGTACGTGTACTAGTATTTAATCTATAACATTAAAATCATCAGTTAAATGGGCCCCCAAGATTAGTTTCCGAGTTGTTATTTTTATCTTATTTGTTTATCCTTAAAAAACTCCCACAAGGATAGCGATTTAAAGAAACAACGTCTAAAGATAATGTTAAGTAGAATACTTTACGATAATTAAGATTTAAACCACGCCAGACGGTAGAAAAAGTCATGTTTGATTAATGGTTTTTGCTTGTTATAACAAACGCTTAGTCCTACATGTTAAAGTTCAAGCTTACAAGTTATAGGGTCTAACACTACGTTTATATTAGAAAGCAATAAAGCAAACCGCTCTTTTCCTTTTAGTTATTTAAATAATATTTTATTTTTATATATTATATTCAAACTCATTAGTTCATTAAAAATTGAATTAAGTCACATTTTATGTTACAGTGTATTGTCATTGAGTCTTCAACTACTTGAAAAGTTTGAAACAAAACGGTCCGGAAAATGTTATCGTTTTGAGAAATCGGAAGTACCGTAAACTACCTTTTTCCTCACTAGTAATCAATTGGAATTTGAAAAAAAAATCAAAAGAATAAGATCTTGTACATTTGTATACAGTTTCTTTTACCTAATGACAGCGATTGTGAAAAATCTCGAAATGGTATATATATATATATATATATATATATATATATATATATATATATATATATATATATATATATATATATATATATATATATATATATATATATATGTGTGTGTATATAAATTTTAAATCAGTTGCGATTTTTAAAAAGTAAATCTTATTATTAAATAAACCGGGAGTGATCTCCCCTAAACTTTCTCGAATATTCTTATATAAAACAACAAGGGATGGGAACTCGGGATATAGTTATGATTTTTAATCCATTTGTAAATACTTAAACTTTTTAAAATAGAATAGAATCTCATAGAAAAAAAAGAATTGCGCACCAAGCGAACGCCAAAACAAAATGTGCATAATAGTTTTTATTATTAGTACTTCATAAATTTACAAGTGTTTTTTGAGAAATCGGAAATAGCGTAAATTACTATTTCCGGTCAACGGAAATTACTCAAAATTTGATAGAACGTAAAGGATTAGATTTTTTACTTACGTGTGAATTTTCATCAACCTAGCTGTAACGGTACTCAAGTTATCGTGTTTACACACACAGAGAGACACACAGACACACAGGCACACAGATATACGGAAAATAATGCACAATTATGTTTTTCCGTATCAGTGAGATGTACAACGTCGAGATTTGTAAAAATCTCGATTTTTTTTTTGCACGATTACAAGACTTTCTCTATACTTCGTATATACGAGAAAGTAAAAAACGGTTTTATTTTTGAAGGACTTTACCAAAGATTAAATATATTTGATATTTACATATTTTCGGCAACTAAACACAATTTAAATTAAAAAACAAAAACTGTCAAAATCTCATACGATTTATGTGCAAGATTTCAAATATTTCCTCTACACTTCGTATACGACTTGAGTGAAAACGACGTCCTTTCATGCAGTTTCTTCCAGGCATCTCTTCGGGGAGTCTGAGCCCATTCCCCCACCCCCCTGCCCCCCCCCCTGAACGAAATGAACTTTATATAGAAAATATATACTTTTAACAGTGTGTGTCCCCCCCCGAAGAAAGTCTACCGCACCCCCCCCCCCCCCGAAAAATACAAGTGCACCCCCCCCCCCCCCCCCCCACCAGGAAAAAAGAGTCTGGAAGAAACACTACTTTCATGTAAACTAACCGGTATCCAAGGCGAAGAGCCATGAATGCAGCCGTCCCACCTAGGGCAAAAGCGAATACTTATTGTCTGTCTGCATTCGATGACATCCATAATCGGTACATAGCCTTCAACATATCCTTCTATTTTTCCGGTGTAGCGGCAACTATTATTAACACAGTCTTTCTCGTATCCTGTGATTTCCATAGGATCTTTTTTAAGGCAGCTTAACATATCTGTAGGGAAAATATATTTTTAGTGAACGTTAAAAAAAACTACGGGCGCCGACACTAGGGGCGCCAAAAGGGGCAGAAAAAAAAATTAAAAGCTAATTTTAAGCTGCAGTTTTGAATCATAACATTCAAAGTTAAGAAATCAAATGACTACAAATATTTACATACTGATTTAACTCCTTATAAATAAAAACCCTTAAGAAACAGTGGCCGGTAAATACCGCTTTCTGGCATTTTAACACTTTAAAAAGAAACAATTTGTATCGAAGAGTATTGTGTAACAGTAAAATAAGAAAAAATGTTGGGGGAGGGGGGGGGCGCGTTTTTTGCCAATGTATAAGGGAAAGATTTACACAAAAATGGTGATTAGATAAATTGTTTAACACTTAGAATAGAGTCCAATTGTATCAGATTGTATTGTACGATTATATAACAGTAGAAAAAAAAGTTAGTGAAGTTAAAACCTGTTAAACGAATGTTTTCAAGATGTGGGGTACGGTGGGCGCTTTTTCGACAAAAAATCGCAGAGATTTTCATTAGTGAGAATAATAACTCACAGAAAAGAATCCGTAGTGTGTAACAGTAAAATAAGAAAACAGTGGGGGGGGGGGGGGGGGTATCGCATTTTCGCCAAGGTAAATGTGAAGGAATTACACCGAATTAGAATAGAAACCAGTTTTGCTAAAAAAATTACGCGAGTAGTTATTTGTATGATTCCCACGATTCTCTCAACTTCAACGCGAGAGAACACTCGTTTCTGCTTGATTGTCCGATATCTTGCCTAAATCCACTGTATTAAAGAGAAATAAAGATCACGGATTCTTGATTTGCTATCTGATCAATACAATAGCATACGATCGGGGCGGTAGGTTGGAAGGCGATACTCTGGACGGAATTTTATGAGCTATGAAAAATATAACACGGTATTCTGTATTTAAAGTTCACCAATAACTCTATTTACTAGAAAATTAGTACATATATATATATATATATATATATATATATATATATATATATATATATATATATATGTAAATCAAAGTGGTCAGCGGATGTTTAGGGCAGCCGGAAGGCGCTTAAAAATTTGCAGGTATCCGCGTCAGGTGACTAGAACAATGGAAAATGCACATTGGTCACCAAGTCCACAAGTGGGTGAAAGCTGAGCGCGACTGACCGCCGCCTCATATAATCAACGAGCTGACCCGCTGCGTATCATACGCCGCTATTTAGTTGTCTTTTTTTCTACTTTTCAGTAATTTATAATTTGTGAATTCGACAGTACCAATGCTGCCATTGAAAATATTTGCTTAAAAACACTAACCCCCCCCCCCCCCCCCCCCCACGTGAAAGCAGCCTCCTCTTAGTTACCTCCTCTAAGTTTAAAATCGTTTCAAACTAAATTATCTGCCCCTAATAGCCGTCACCAAACCCGTCTCTATGATTGTAAAATGTAAACAGAGTGAACACCGCTCACCAGATCATGTGGGGGTGAGGTGGGGGTGGTTGTGATAGTGATAGAGAGGAAGAGAGGGGACTGCAAAGGCGCGCTTGCAGCTTGTTTTCTAACTGATCCCAGAAGAGAATTATATATATAGATTTATACAAAAAATATATCCCCCATCGACACACCCTCATACTTCCAATGTCCTGGAGCTTTCAAAAATAAAAACACGCGTCACTTTAAAAAAAAAATGTTATATTGTTAAAAACCTGACCAGACGCCGTATTTCATCGCAACATCTTGTGAAAAACGGAGGCAAAATTTGAAAATGCTTCTAGATTTTTAGCGTACATAACTCTAAAATTTACCTGGCTATATGGAAAAATTGCCGGTTAGATTCTATACGCGCTTGCAGATTCTCATGCACATGTACACGCACACGCAATGGTACACGACAACGGTAAACTGTTGGTCAATATTTGGTTGGTCTTTAGCATGAAAATCGTCTAAGGATAAATCAATATGCAGAAAATATTTAAATAAAACCACATGCGTACCTGGTAAGTAAACCATACAAATGAGAAGTGTTGAAAGCACCAGAACTTTATCCATCTGTGCTTCAGTCTTGGTTGAAGCTTTAATAAATAATTAGGTTCGAGAGGGGAGCATTACAGGCCATAGACTACAACTAAACATACCAGCAAAGAAAAACAAGAAGTAGCATAGCTTTGGTGTTTGTCTTTTTGTTGTCTAAGTGTGTCGACCCAAAATATGTCCGTTTAGTATATGTGTACAACGTGTCGGATATACCAAAACCTGAAATGCGAAATTTTGCGCACCTACAAGTTGACTTTTGTGTAGGCTATGGTTTTGTTGTTAGTAACAAATGATACCGCAAATTAATTAAAAAACAAAAGTAAATTAGGGCCAACTGTACGATTACTGTTTAATTTGATGTATTTCCTAACGATGAAATTCATTGTTATATAATTCAATAGCGCAGTTTCTATAGTAGGTTTATATTTGTCTCTACAGACTACACTGTGGCGTTTTAAAATGAGTTTTGTTAATATCTACAAAGTATAGGCAGGTTTTAAAAGATTGTCGGTTATGCTCGGTCTAAAACTCTCACTTCCAAACCTCTTTCCTCGTGCAGACTTTTTTTTTAATTTATCATCAACACCTAATAATATCTAGAATATAATTTCCCACCCCTCCACTACTTCCCCCCCCCCCCCCCCCCCACCACTACTTCCTAAACCCCTCCACTACTTTCACAACCCTCTACTACCCCTCTCTGCTCAAAATGTTCAGCATTTAACTAGGCTACTCGTCTCCCCTTCCCCCACTTCAAAGAAAGGAGCTCCGCCCACAACCCCCCCTCCTCCCTCCCCTCTTCCCCCCCCCTCCCCACACACAGGTTAGTTGGATGTTATACAATCGCCTTTGTGACGATCTATTTAAGATTTCTGAGTAAAAGTTTGTCTACGGCTATACAATTTTGCTTGTGAATATACCAGACATCAAGTTAGGATTAAGATGAAAAAATAAGTCTTAGTGTATAATCTTACCATTTGGTTTGTGAAAATACGCCTGGCGACTATAAAAGATTAAATGCAAAATTTAGTCTGCGACTCCATAATTTACGATGTGATAATTCTGTGTATATAAAAATTTGTTTATTATAAGTAATGCGTGACTATAAAAATAAAGATTTGAATGCATTTAAATTTAAAAGCTATAGAATTTGTTTTGTGACTATAGCAGACTGCGACTATAAAAGTTAGGATTAAGGGGTAAAAGTTTGTCTGTGCCTACAGAAATTACTACGCTGTGATGATTCTGTGAATATACAAATTAGTAGTTATTCAAAAAGAGCAGAAACATGTACGCTGTTTTTTTTAATGTGGTCTCCTAGCGGCAACTCAGTGTGGTCTGAAGTAAAACGTTTCCCTTTCAAACCTGACAGTCTATGGGGCAATTGTAGTAGAGTTTACTTGTTTCTGTGACCTCGGCATATAAAGAAATAGTGTGGTCAGCACTATGCTCAGCCGCCTATACTTTCCCTAACGTGAGTTAGGTACCCATCAGAGTTGGGTGGACTCAGGGACGGTCTACTGACTTGAACCCGGATTCGAACTCGAGACTTACGGGTTAGCAGTCCAGCTCTCTACCGCAAGACCACTCAGTCCCACAGGGGTCCTAAACATACCCTTTTATGTTCGAAACCAGACTCATTTTTTTTATTATTTTAAAAGATAATAACTTTCTTATAACTTGATATACGGCAATAAACTTGATGTTTCTTTTCTGATGAAAGCAACCTATCAGAGGGAATTGTTACATTTTATTTTATTTTTTAAAATAGAAATTTCATTTGGTATACCTATTCGTGTGTTTTGTAAAGATCCTTTTCTTCTCACAGTCAACTTTCGCGCCTTGAGCGGCATTATGGCACCTCTGTCACCTCTGCTTACGATGCTAACTTTGACAAGTTTGACACTAATCATCCTGTCTTTAAACATAGGTATGTACATTTTATGTTTTACTTTTATTTTTTACTTCTTATATCAATGAGTACATGCTGTTGAAATGTTACACACCCAGGGCGGATTGTGCTGTGCTATCCATGGTGTTTTCGGCTGTTTTCTATGTACGTTTTTTGCATCGTTTTAGAACGAACTTGGCAGTTTTTCAATGCAATTTCAGTGACCACACCAGAATCCAATTCTCCTTGATTAGTCTAATATTTCAGTTTTCTCTCTTCTATCTATTAAACACGAGATGAGCCATGGCTGCTTTAGTTTTAGCATGTTTCACCAGATTGTGTAAGAGTCAGTAAGAGATTCACTTTATTTTCAGGTATAAAAGCTTCCAGCCTTAAAGACTTTGAACATGTAAGTTCTTTTATCTAAACATTAATTTTTATTCCTTAAAAAGTGTTTTTATGGTGCTTATCAATTCAAAGTTTGGTCAGATCAGGGCATGTAATGTTTACTGGGAAAGGTTGCTCTGTTTAAAAAAAAATGTAAATCCGTATTTCATGATTATCACTTTGTAACCGAAATTTAAATGTTGACATTAGTATTCATCTTTTTTTAGTTATTGGAAATATTATAGATGTTTAAATATTTTCCAGTGCAATGATATAAAAATATAACAATATTTTTAGAAATGCCACATGTAATCTTACATATTGTAATATTAGGAGATGCCCACAACAGTTTAAGGCAGAGAAAATTTCTTCTATTTATTTTATTCGTTTTGTTTTGTTTAACATGAAAACATGTTACTTGATTACGTTACCCACTTTAACCTTTGTAATTGTATGCTTCCTCCAGGTTTTGAATGTTTCACTTAGCACTGCGTATGTTTTCTCTAGTTATTAAAATGTTCCCTTTATCACAACAATAAATATTTTTGTTGGTTTTTTTTTTTTTGGGGTTACTTGAATCACTTTTCACTCTTTTTAAAAAATCTCCTTTCGGACCTTGCGGTCTACGTGGCAGATAAAGCAGAGTTTAACTGTTTCTGTGACCTTGGCATACAAGGGGATAGTGTGGTCAAAATGCCCAGCCGCCTTTACTTTCCCTAACCTAAGTCAGGTATCCATCAAATTTGGATGGACTAAGTGACGTGCTTTCGATCTAGCCAGGGACCCGAACTCGAGACTTTCGGTTTTGTAGGCAAACGCTCTGCTATTCGACCTCCAAGTACAGTTTCAGTTATTACTATTCTTGGATAAATGTGTGATGTACCTTTTTACTTTCTCGTATATACGTAGTATAGAGAAAGTATTGTAATCGTGCAAAAAAAAAAAATCGAGATTTTTACAAATCTCGACGTTTTACACCTCACTGATACGGAAAAACATAATTTTGCAATCTTGTCCGTATGTCTGTGTGTGTGTGTGTGTGTCTGTCTGTGTGTGTGTCTGTCCGTGTGTAAACACGATAACTTGAGTACCGTTACAGCTAGGTTGATGAAATTTCATATATAAGTATTATATTAAAATCGTAGATCTGTATCAACTTTTGAGCGATTTCCGACAACCGGAAGTGGTACTTTTTCTACTTTGAATTTTTCAAAAGCCTATAACTTGAGTACTATTTCAGATAGATAAATGAAATTTCACATGTAAGTAAAAGATCTAATTCTCTACCTTCTGTTAAATTTTGAGTAATTTCCGTTGACCGGAAGTAGTAATTTACGCTACTTCCGATTTCTCAAAAAACTAATGTAAATTTTTAAAGTACTAATACTATTGCGCACCATTATACACACCTTTATTAGGCGTTCGCTTGGTGCGCAATTGTTTTTTACTGAGATTCTATTCTATTTTTAAAAGTTTCAGTATTTAAAATGGATTAAAAATCATAACTATATCCCCAGTTACCATCCCCTGTTGTTTTATATAAGAATATTCGAGAAAGTTTAGGGGAGATCACTACCAGTTTATTTATTTTGATCTGAATTGGAGTCATTTAAATTTATTAAATCAGAAAAAAGAATAGCGAGAGCAAAATTGTTTTAAAACTTTCATAATTTTATTTAAATTTTGAATTAAAATAAATTTTAAAATGCAAACAATGATATTTTAAAACTATGTTACCTACTCCAATATTTTTACCTCTTTGTTTTTATAGGGTAACAAGGGACAAAATGAACGTTTAAGCAATTCGGAGAGCGAAAAATTTCAACCTCTATACTTCATTGAAAGCTGTTACAGGTTTAAGAGTACGGAGCGCTTCAGTTATTATCTCTTAGGGTTTAATCAATATGAATACCAGTTCGGTGACATACGGCTAATAGGCATCAACCGTCCAAGAGAGATGTTGAATTCAACAGTGTAATGCCGTAAGTAAAAGCTTCTTCTACATTGCGCACAGCTTATCTGATTTAACTCTTTGCCTTTCATTTGTGTTTATAAAAACTGCATATATTATTTTGAACAAATAAACCTTGTGTATGCTAGCAAAAATGTTCATTGCAAACAAACGCAGAACATTATTTCTAATTAATGTGATAATGAAATAATTATACAAATACTTTAAAAAAAAAACAGCCATAATTTCAACATATTATTTACTGAAAAATCTTTAGTAATGCATATAGCTTTGTTGATTTGGTTTCATACTCGAGTCTTACATATATAACACCATTTCCTCTACCCCTTTCCGTGCATTACCCACCTCATCAATTAAAAGAAAATCAGACACAAATATATTTCCTAATATTTCTGTCTCCCTATCGCCACTCACAATATGGAATTTAAAAACAATTCTTTCGTGTAAAATATTAACGGTAAAAATAGTAACATATTTTTTTTTCCGAATCTATGTTAAGAAAATGTAGATTGGCTATATGTCTTTATAGCTTAAACAATAACGTTTATAAAATTCTCAATAGCTGCAACAAATATATTTAGTTTAATTTCTTTTAATAATAAATTGTAATAATTCTTCCTATTTACACCACTCCTTGTAAAACGTTTTACAAAAGTACGAACACCCCCCCCCCCCTGTAATGAGTGTGCCGCTATATCTGGAATACTCCTGAGCAAGTTTTCTCTAGGCTAGTAGGAGGACACATAGAGCTCCGATTCCCAAGAAGGCAAACTCTGTTGAATATGTAAAAAAATATATTTATTTCAAACACAAGTTTTAAAAATGATCTCTATGCTCTTTTTAACATGTTTAAAAGTAAGACAAGTTAAACCTAAAAGTCTCGAGTTCGAGCCGCTGGATAGTTGAGGTTCAACATCTTTATAGTTTGTTGAAGTTGGGCAAGTGTTACGGAACTTAATCCAGAAAGAAAACATGTTAAAATCAGAGTCAACTGGCTGTATGGGACATACATTGAAATGTAATAGTTCTGTTGGTAAAAATTACATTCCAACATAGCAATTAAGGGGAGCCGGACGTTTTCCCGAAAGCCACTTGCCCGAATGCCGTTTGCCCGAAGGCCAATTTCCCGAATGGAAATTTGCCCGAATGCGACAAATACCCGAATGGACACTTGACCGAATGTCTTTCGGGAATTTGTCGTACCCCAATTAAGAACGAAGAAGTAAATCATAAAACTACTATTCTACAATAGTCATTAAAAAATGTAGGAATTATTTTTTTTTAAATTGACACAATTTTCAATCTCTTTAGCAGTTAAATTGTCGCTTCATGGGCAAGCAGAATGGAATAGGGTTGAAATTTTTTTTTAAATATCTCCCAAACACGGTCTCTCGTGGGCTTTTGCGACTCATAGGTTTACGCTAGATGTTTATCACTTAAGGGCCTGTTCGGTATTGGGACGACCTCCTTGTGATTGCTGTAGTTATCATATCACACAACGGCCTGTTCGGTAGTGGGACGACCTCCTTGTGATTGCTGTAGTTATCATTGCGCGCGTCCTACCGATAGACCACTATGCCCCCACATAACTTTACTGAACGGTTGATGTTTTTCTTTTTCAGTAATTTAAATTATTTTTATTCGATTGTACAGAGGGGCGGAACTACAGTGCCGCCAGTCCCTGAAGTGCGGTGAGGGGGCCATGCCGTTTAGGGCGTCACGTACATAATTAATTTTTTTTTAAAATTTGAATGCAATTTTCTTGCATTTTTGCTATCATAATTGGTTTGTAAAAAATACTGTAGCTGCGGTACGATTATCTTTATTTTACAGTCACTATACCACGCTCTTCCACAAACATAAAAATCCATTACAGAAATTGTAGTGTAAAATAGATGACACGTAGCTGTTCGACCAATCCTCCAAAGTGTAATTTGGCGAATGGGGAAGGGGGTGGGGGACCAAATAGGGGTCTAGAAAATTGTCGTCAAATTTATTTATAATTGTATTTTTTAACTATCGTCAAAGTTAATTTCCACTACAATCAAACACACGCTTTACACCTGCAATTTTTCCAAAAAATAAACCGGGAGTAATCTCCTTAAACTTTCTCGAATATTCATATATAACGCTACGGCGGATGGCCAAAAAAAAAATCGCGATTTTTGCAAATCTCGACGTTTTATACCTCTCTGAGTTGAAAAAAACATAGTTTTGCAATCTTGTCCGTATGTCTGTGTGTCTGTGTGTGTTTGCAAACACGATAACTTGAGTACCGTTACAGCTAGGTTGATGAAATTTCATATATAAGTCTTTTATCAAAATCGTAGATCCGTATCAACTTTTGAGCGATTGCCGATAACCGGAAGTGGAACTTTTTCTACTTTCAATTTTTCGATAGCCTATAACTTGAGTACTATTTCAGATAGATAAATGAATTTTCATATGCGTCACGGCCTTTTTGTACTGTCAACTTCATGGCACAAACTCAATACAAATACCAACCGCATCACTGTTGTGTTATTGCATATTAAGGCCTGATGGATAACACCAAACAACTCTTGTCTTGGTAATTTACACAATTTTATTGATTCAAAGATACAGCAGCTTCATTACCAAACAACGCCATTTCTTTTTCCCGCTTTCTCTCTACTTCCACTTTCTTTTTGCGCATGCGCCCACCCACAATATATTTTAGATTTATATCGCCATTTTACACCTCCACTCGAAACATACATTCACCCTACATTTGACTGTTACAATATGTAAGTAAAAAATCTAGTTCTCTGCAGTCTATCAAATGTTGAGTAATTTCCGTTAAACGGAAGAGGTAATTTACGCTATTTCCGATTTCTCATATAACGGATGTGAATTTATGAAGTACTAATAATATTCCGCACTATAATTCACACTTTGTTTGGATTTAACTTGGTGTGCATTTTTTTTTCTACGAGATTTTATTCTATTGTAAAAGTTTAAGTATTTAAAATGGATTAAAAATCATGTCTATATCCCGAGTTGCCATCCCCTGTTGTTTTATATAAGAATATCCGAGAAAGTTTAGGGGAGATCACTCCCGGTTTATTTTAAATAGCACTTCATATAAAAGGTTTAAGACATGAAAATGCGTAAAACAAATAAAATGATAGACGTTATACAACATCATTATTTAAAACACTTCAGTCTCAGCGTAAAACTTATTTGTTTACTGCAGCATCAACACAAACATAACGCTGACGTTATTTGAGAGTTGCGTTTTTAGCGTCAATCTGACTTCTCAAAAATGCTGATGCCTTTCTGCGATGTAACGTAACAGGCCATAGATGGGTAATCACCACTTATGTTATTTTGCTTGCATGCACATTATAAATAACCTACGTGACATAAAACGCATTACCTGAATGTAATTGTTGTTCTCCGTTGGTTGAATGAGAATAATCTTTTTCCCTCCAGGCGAACCCAAGATTGTCCACTGGGTCCCAATTATCTGTCGGAAGAGTTTTCAAATGAATTTAGATCCTAACCCATGTCAAGTATTTATCTATACTTATATTGGAAACCGTGGCATACCTGATAAACGTCAAGCATAAACCTATGGGTCGCAAAAGTCAACGAAAGACCGTGTTTGGGAGATATTTTTAGGGCGTGTTTTATGTTTATAACCCTATTCCACCTAAACCTCTAGGTAGTGTGTCAGTCCTTGCTTGTTCCTTCAGTCGTCGTTATAGCAGCTAGAGGAATGTGGTGTGTTTTTCATAGAAATCTCTGAATTTAATTGTTATAGCCCTTTAGGTCCCAATTTATTTATTTTATAGTCAGTAGACAGCAAGTTAATTAGAGACCAAAATGTGCTATTTGTTTGCTTCACACATGTCATTTATATGGTTTATTGTATGTTTCTAAATGTATCTTTTATATCTATTGTATTGTTTGTATAAAGAGTGTCGCTTGTTGTTTTTTTTTTTTAGATATCGAATTTTTTTTTGGTGGCTTCCCTAGCAATATTATTGTTTCTTTAGAATTTTCCTAGCGTTTCTTTGTAAAAAGCTAACCATGTACTATTGTTCTAATTTATGGTAATATGGTTCTATCAAAATTCTCTCTAAATATTTTAATCGGTAGGTGTTTATTCTTTAATGAATGTCAAATAGCCCCATTCCCCAATTTAATTTCCTATATATTTGTTATGTTTCCAATTTTGTGTTTTTTGAAAAAAAAATGTCTATCATAATACGCAGTTAAATACACGTGTTGATCTACGCAAAACGTATACGGTTTGCAGTGTGTTAGTGTGAAATTTTTTTTTACCCCGCGTGTAATGTATGTGTACGTATGTGTTGGGGTAATCAGCAGTGGTCTGTACGGTGTAAGATGAATGATTGTGTGAGGATTGTGTGTGGATGATTCTACAGATCAAAAGGCTTTGATAAAACAATAATTAAAAATTTGATATCTTATTTATTTTTCTCCAACGAGTAGAGTGCGTCAGATTGCAAACAATTTTTTTTATTACATCCCCCACCCCCCATACTAACATATCGAACGACCTCACCATAGTTTCCTACTCTATGTACATTCTGGAGTTACTTGTAATATTAACAAAGAAACATTAAAAGAATTAATTAAAATAGTCTTTTATAAGCTAAAAGCGGCGAAAAAGTGATTCGCCTCATATATTACTTCAAGGGAAGATTGCAGCTGATTCTAAACTATTTTCTAAACTTTTTGCTATTAATTGCAACTGTCAGCTTTCTTCCTACGAGTGTGCCCAATACATCAGTATTTCCTCTCCATATTACTTCCCTGTTAAAATAACTAAGTTAACACCCATCTTTATTAAACATTAGAACTATTTGTTAAATTAACAAAAATGTTTTTTTTTAAATATGGCTACCTGGTTTCATTGATGAATCGAATATATTGCCGACATAAAGTATTTTTCCATAATCAAATGGGTCTGTCGCTTCAAGCCGATATAAAGCATTTTCTGCCATAGAGAAAAACTTGAATTTAACAGGCAAAGTTCCTGAGCAGTAGCAGGGGAAATTGTTCGTTTCAGCGCAGACTTCCGGCTCCCAGCAATGTACGTATAGATCACAGTACTGAAAATAATAATACCGTAGAATGGAGTAGAATGGTTTAGATCGTAGAATAATAAAGTATAGCAAAGTGTTAAATAAAAAAATGGAGTAGAATTTAACAGAATATATTTCACTAATAAACCCCACACCTTTCGACTCACATCCCGTTACCTCACATAGCACGTTTCACACCACACACAATCTATCACCTCACATAGCACGCTTCACAACACACACCATCTATCACCTCACATAGCACGTTTCACACCACACACAATCTATCACCTCACATAGCACGCTTCACAACACACACCATCTATCACCTCACATAGCACGTTTCACACCACACACCATCTATCACCTCACATAGCACGCTTCACACCACACACAATCTATTACCTTACATCTGACATAGCACGCTTCACACCAAACACACAATCTATCACCTCACATAGCACGCTTCAAAACACACACAATCTATCACCTTACATAGCACGCTTCACACCAAACACACAATCTATCACCTCACATAGCACGCTTCAAAACACACACAATCTATCACCTTACATAGCACGCTTTACACCACACACAATCTATCACCTTACATAGCACGCTTTACACCACACACAATCTATCACCTTACATAGCACGTTTCACACCACACACTATCACCTTAAATAGCACGCTTTACACCACACACAATCTATCACCTTACATAGCACGCTTTACACCACACACAATCTATCACCTTACATAGCACGCTTTACACCACACACAATCTATCACCTTACATAGCACGTTTCACACCACACACTATCACCTCACATAGCACGCTTTACACCACACACAATCTATCACCTTACATAGCACGCTTCACATCACACACAATCTATCACCTTACATAGCACGCTTTACATCACACACAATCTATCACCTCACATAGCACGCTTTACACCACACACAATCTATCACCTTACATAGCACGTTTCACACCACACACTATCACCTCACATAGCACGCTTTACACCACACACAATCTATCACCTTACATAGCACGCTTCACATCACACACAATCTATCACCTTACATAGCACGCTTTACACCACACACAATCTATCACCTTACATAGCACGTTTCACACCACACACTATCACCTCACATAGCACGCTTTACACCACACACAATCTATCACCTTACATAGCACGCTTCACATCACACACAATCTATCACCTTACATAGCACGCTTTACATCACACACAATCTATCACCTCACATAGCACGCTTTACACCACACACAATCTATCACCTTACATAGCACGTTTCACACCACACACTATCACGTTACATAGCACGCTTTACATCACACACAATCTATCACCTTACATATCACGCTTCACACCACACACAATCTATCACCTCACATAGCACGCTTCACATCACACACAATCTATCACCTTACATAGCACGCTTTACACCACACACAATCTATCACCTTACATAGCACGCTTCACACAACACAAAATATATCCCCTTACATTATAAATACAACCCCTCAGTCCATTAACCCTACACCCTATATATACCAAACAAATAAATTATCTAAAGTATAAGGCTTGTGAACGCGCAACATTAAACATGCGGCATGCTCGCACCAAGTGTTATGTATTTCCAGTAAAAGGTGAATAGTTCCATTTGTTTTTAACTTCAAAGAATGGAATTATACATTTTATAAATTAATCAATATTTGCATTAAATTATTGGAAGGACCATCTGCTTCATAAATTTAAGAAAAATAAAATACATTTTTATACATGCTATATTTTTTTAATTAGTCGACGTATGCACAAGTGTCTATTACTTGTCTTTTTTTCAGTTGCATAGCAGTAAATAATTTTTTTATTTACTTTTGTTTTAAATCGTAAAGTGATTGTCAACTTATTTTATTAAATCTTAGAAATTTAAAAGAACAAAAACGATCTCAAACATGTGTTTTTCGGACATTTGCGTCTGTTTATCTCCCCCTAAATATTAGTAAAGGTATCCAATAGATACTAAAGTGACCCACGCTTTTCTTTATAGTAATTTAAATAGTAGTGTATAATTTATTTTCTACTTTTTAGTGCATTATTACATAAAAACTTGTTATTAAAACGTTTTTATGAAATTTTTTAGTGCTTATTACATAAAATGTTGTTATTAATAAAACGTTTTCTATGCATTTTGAAATAGTTAATTAAAAATGAATATAGTCACATTTTATGTCACAGTGTAGGCCTACTGTATGGAACGTCTTGAAAAAATTTGAAACAAAATGGTCCAAAAAAGCTAATCGTTTTAAGGAATCAGAAATACTGTTAAGTACCTTTTCCCCCAAATGCTTATCAACCGAAATTTGTAAAAAAAAAAAAAAATCAAAAGAATAAGATATTATATCTATGTAGGCTATAAAATTTCTTTCATCTAAAGAAAGCAACGGTGAAAAATCTCGAAATCGTATATACATTTTAAAAAAAATATCTGGTGCGATTTAAAAAAAAATACATCTTGTTAAACAAAACCTGTTTTATTATTTACGGGCTTTACCTAAGATTAAATATTTTTTTTATATTTAGATATTTTCGGTAACTAAACACTATTTGAAACAATTAAAAAAAAAACTGTCTAAATCTTATACTATTTTTCAGCAAGATTTCAATTATTTCATCTATACGACTAAAGTGAAAACGAAATATTTTTATGCAAACTAACCGGTATCCAAGGCGCAGAGCCATTAAAACAGCGTTCCCACCTTGGGCAAACGCGAACAGCTATTCTCTGTTTGCATTCATTGGGATCCAAAATCAGTTCGTGGACTCCAATATACCCTTCTATTTTTCCGGTGTAGCGGCAACTATAATTAACACAGTCTTTCTCATATCCTGTGATTTCCATAGGATATTTTTTAAAGCAGTTTAACATATCTGTAGGGAAAAAAATATTTTTAGTGTAAGTTAAAATAACTACGTTACCTTTGTATTAAAAACAGCAAATAAACATGTTAATCCTATAAAACTTAAGCAGTTTTTCCGTTGTCTTTTACATTCTTTTGCCAGCGCGAACTTGAATACTTTTGTAGGGGATAAATTACCTAGCTAGTTGATGGTCCACGAGCTTAACTTTATTTCAAGCGGAGCAGAGGCGTAGTTAGAAAGGTGGGAGGATGGCGGAAGGGCGGCCACCCTGGGCGCCGACCCTATGGTGCGACAAAAGGGTAGAAAAAGAAATTAAAAGCTCATTTTAAGCTGCAGTTTTGAATCATAAACATTCAAAGATAAGAAACGGCTACAAGCCTTTATGTACTGATGTGACTGTTTTGTGCTTCCATTATGTAACTGTAAAATAAATACTTTTAAGAAACAGCGACCGAGAAAAACCGCGTTCTAACATTTTAACACCAGTTGTATCAAATCGTATTGTGTGACAGAAATATATATATATATATATATATATATATATATATATATATATATATATATATATATATATATATATATATATATAAAGCAAATTGGTCAGCGGATGTTTAGGGCAGCCGGAGCGCGCTTAAAAATTTGCAGGTATCCGCGTCAGGTGACTAGAACAATGGAAAATGCATATTGGTCACCAAGTCCACAAGTGGGTGAAAGCTGAGCGCGACTGACCGCCGCCTTATAAAATTGATTTATATGAAAATATATTTTCCCCGTTCGACACATTCTCAAACTTTGTAAGGTTGTAGACTAATGCCCAGGAGCGTTCGAAAAAAAAAACCTGCTTGACTAAAAACCGAACCAGACGGCGTATTTCATTGTGAAAAACGGAAATCGCTCAAAATTTGATAGGCATCTACGATTTTGATAAAAATACATATATATGAAATTTCATCAGCATAGCTGTAACGGTACCCAAGTTATCGTGTTTACAGACACACACACATACACACACACAGACATACGGACAAGATTGTAAAACGTCGAGATTTGGAAAAATCTATAAAAAAAACATTTTTCTACGATTACAAGACTTTCTCTATACTTTGTATATACGAGAAAGTAAAAAAGCACGTTTTTAATCCATGTCAACAATATCATTCAATATGATAGAAGGTTTCTCGTCAACTCGGTCAACTCCATTTGAAAATGCTATTAGATTTTAAGAGTACTTAACTCTATTCTTTACTCGTGAATATGGAAAAATGTGGTTGGTCTTTAGCATGAAAATCGTCGAAGGATAAAATAATATGCAGAAAATATTTAAATAAAACCACAAGCGTACCTGGTAAGTAAACCATACAAATGAGAAGTGTTGAAAGCAGCAGAACTTTATCCATCTGTGCTTCAGTCTTGGTTGAAGCTTTAATAAATAATTAGGTTCGAGAGGGGAGCATTACAAGCCATAGACTACAACCAAAACTACCACCAAAGAAAAACAAAAAATAGCCCAGCCTTGGTGTATGCCTATTTGTTGTCAAAATGTTTCGACCCAAGATAGATCTAGATCTATGTGCGATTAGAATATGTGTACAACGTGTCGGAAATACTTAAACCTGAAATGCGCAATTTTGCGCACTTAAAAAGTTGACTCAGATTATGAAAGCTACAGGCAGCTCCCTTTACAATTATTTAATATTATATAATTGGGCCTACAGTAATAAGTTGTTCTTTAACAATAACTCTTAAAATATGCAAATATTGTGATCAAGCAAGAGTTGTAATTGTGACAATTTGCAAAATGGATAAAAGACATTCAACATGAACTTAGTACGGAAAATACACAAGATTTATTACACAATTTAGTGTTAATTTTTTCTTTAATAAGAAAAAGCTAACCCTTTAAAGTCAACACATTTTAAGTCACTCGCATTTACTGCCCTTGTCTATTTTGCTCCAAACTAAAAGTTTTTAAACATTTTAGAATCCGAGGACTGTGTACAAATATTTTTTATAAGACTAATTAAGCCTCAAAAGTAATTTCATATACATTACTTTAGGCTACAAGTTTAATATGTGAAATTTCATATCCTGATTTAGAAAGTGTTTAGAAATTAAAATTTGAAAGGAAAAGAATTGAAATGAACACCAGTGGACGTCACTCATTAAATGACATTTTGGGGGTCGAGCTAATAGTCATATAAAGATTATTGATGGATACGTTTTTTTTGTGTTTGTGTGTGTGTGTGAATTTTTCTTGTTTATAAGGTAAATTCGACCTTCCCCAGTTATTTCTCATTTATTTGAAAATGTTTTAAAAAAGAATACGTAACTAAAGTAAAATAGAAAAGAGTGGATTCACATTCTGTTACCTTCACACTTCTGCTGCTAAACACACACCATTACAGTAGTCACAACCACCCACCCCACATATCACCATTAGAGTAGTCACAACCACCCACCCCACACTTCACATTTAAAGTAGTCACAACCACCCACCCCACATATCACCATTAGAGTAGTCACAACCACCCACCCCACACTTCACATTTAAAGTAGTCACAACCACCCACCCCACACTTCACATTTAAAGTAGTCCGAACCACCCACAGCACACATCACCATTAGAGTAGTCACAACCACCCACCCCGCAAATCACATTTAAAGTAGTCACAACCACCCACCCCACACCTCACCCTTACAGTAGTCCGAAACCAAAGGCCTATTTGATCACATCATTTGTAAACCAACAGTTCATCCCCACCCTCCCCATTCCTCGGTACACGCTCACCCTACCACCTTGTTTCATCTACAAACTGCTGACCTAGATAATCACGTCCTCTGTAAAACTAACCCTCCCCCCCCCCCCCAGGTCACGTTAAATACAATTCAAGTCAAACTAAACTTAGACGACAAAAGACAACTTTCACCTTCCCTCTCCCCACCCCCTCCCTTTAAAGCAATCTCACAGGCAATAAAACTAAGCATAAATTGTCAGACGCGCACCTCAGCCCAACCGAACAAAGCTGATTCACCAGACACCTTTGACGTGGTGATCACCGTTAAAACAATTTGTTAACCGACCCAGGAGAGCCCATTGTTTCCCCAGGTAAGGGCACCAGCCGAGGAAAGTGCGAGTGTGGAATTATAAACCACGTCTCGCCCCACCCTCGTCAGCGGAGGTTCCGGTATCTCCACACGTACCTGCACCCTGTGACTGGTTGAGACTCTCCACACGTACCTGCACCCTGTGACTGGTTGAGACTCTCCACACATACCTGCACCCTGTGACTGGTGGAGACTCTCCACACATACCTGCACCCTGTGACTGGTTGAGACTCTCCACACGTACCTGCACCCTGTGACTGGTTGAGACTCTCCACACGTACCTGCACCCTGTGACTGGTTGAGACTCTCCACACGTACCTGCACCCTGTGACTGGTGGAGACTCTCCACACGTACCTGCACCCTGTGACTGGTTGAGACTCTCCACACGTACCTGCACCCTGTGACTGGTGGAGACTCTCCACACGTACCTGCACCCTGTGACTGGTTGAGACTCTCCACACGTACCTGCACCCTGTGACTGGTTGAGACTCTCCACACGTACCTGCACCCTGTGACTGGTTGAGACTCTCCACACGTACCTGCACCCTGTGACTGGTTGAGACTCTCCACACGTACCTGCACCCTGTGACTGGTGGAGACACGAGTTATCTCCCGTCCAGCTCTACCTTGTGGCCTTAAGACCATCTGTTGTGTTGTGTGACAGCTACGGCGTAGAACTTGTAAGAACCCCACGCAAGTAACATGTTATATTATTTACATATTTGTTTGCATTCGTAAAGTAATTATATCCATATTTATTTGATACACTTTAGGGGCATTTTTAAAGTAATTATTCGTGTATTCTTTAAATTATATGCTAAGGGCATCCAGTAATATGCTCTTTACATTTTAAAGGCATCCATTTAGTAAGTATACCCATCTTCGTTTTGTATACTGTAACGGCATCTTGAAAGTAATTATGCTTATATTCATATAATTCATTCGAAGGGCCTCCAACAGTTATTATACCAATCATCATTGTGTCTAACGTTGGGGGCCTCTGAAGCTTTTATGTACATGTTTACTATAATACATTTTAAGGGCATCTAACGGGTAATTATTCCCGTATTATTATTATACATTTTTGGGGCATCTTTGGTGAAATATATGGTCATTTGTAGTGTAATAAAGCCCATACTGTTTGTGTTAAATTGTAGGAGCATCCTTTGAATATGTTTATTTTGATGCATTATATGAGCATACTTAAGAATAAGAAAGCACGTACTGTTTTTCATACACTGTAAGAACAACTTCTAGAATAAACTTCAAGATATTGTTTTTGATACATTGTAGTAATATCGTTCAGAATAATTGTGCCCATATTGATTTTTATGAATAGTAGGGAGATACTTTGAATAGTGGTAAAGTTAAAGTATTTTAATTCTAAGTAGAGCTGTCTAAATAGGGGGCAGATATAGACCTAGTTTTATTTCAACTAAGAAGTCATTACCTGGATATTAAATTTGGGAAAACACTCCTAAGTTGTAAGGAGGGTCTGACATAGCAAAGTGAATGGTTATACACAGACCGATGTAGAAGTGTTTTTTTTTAAGGTTGTAAGGTGTGGTAGAGCTAGCAGCTTTACCCAACCAAGGTACATTTCAGGTATATTCAAGGTTCAATTTTTTTAGAGTAACTAGCATCACATCTCCTTAAAGCATTGATCTTTTCACTAAGTGGTTGTGCCAACACATTAGCTTACCACAAATACAGTGTGGTTACACATTAGTATACCACAAATACAGGTGTAATTACACATCAGCTTACCACGAATACAGCTGTGGTTACACATCAGCTTACCACAAATACTGTGCGGTAACACATCAGCTTACCACAAATACAGTGTGGTTACACATCAGCTTACCACAAATACAGTGTGGTTACACATCAGCTTACCACAAATACAGATGAGGCTACACATCAACATACCACAAATACATCTAAAGCTGTGAGATTGGCTAATTAATTAAATGACACAATACATCTCAATTTGTTTTTATAAATTACTTATTTTCCACCCCAACTTGTAATAATATGTTCAGTATACCACACTTTCCAATCTCCAATCCCCACCCCAATTTGTAATAAAATGTTTATGGTAAAAGTATTCAAAAAGCTTTACATCTTAAATTGTTAAAAATAGAAGAAAAAAACGGAGCATAGGCCTATCCCGTAAGGGTTTGGCTACAGAAATTATTATTTTTACTAAGTTATTTTAAAAAATGATTTGTGTATATCTGAGTTAAGTAATTTTATGGAAGTATGTGCATGAACTATAGACTGTTTTGAACAGTTTAAAAATCAACTTTTGTGGACGCGTGTGAACTGGTGGAGGAGTTTACATGTTGAATTTAATATCAAAGTACTTACATTTGAAGAAAAAACACAAAACCCGTATCAGCATACCACAAATACAACTGAGGTTACACATTAGCATATCATAAATACAACTGAGGCTACACATCAGCAAACCACAAATACAGCTGAGGTTATACATCAGCATACCACATATTGGAGCTAAGACATCAGCCTACCACAAATATAGATGAGCCATCAGCATATCTCAAATACCTCGGTGGTTACACATCAGCCTACCATACATAAAGCTGTGGCTACACAATAGCCGACCACAAATACAGCTGAGGCTACACATCAGCAAACTACAAATACAGGTGTGGTTACACATTAGCTTGCTACTAATCAGTATATCACAAATACAGGTGGGGTTACACATCAGTATACCACAAATACAGCTGTGAATACACATCAGAATACTACAAATACAGCTGTGGTTACACATCAGCTTGCTACAAATACAGCCGTGGTTATACATCAACATATTACAAATACAGCTGAGGCTACACATCCGCATACCAAAAATACAGCTGTTTAACATCAGCAAACTACAAATACAGGTGTGGTTACACATCAGCATACCACAAATACAGCTGAGGCTACACATCAGTATACCACAAATACATCTGCATACCACAAATACAACCGAGGTTATACATGTGAAACCCCTCCCCTTATTTAACACGCGTCCACCATAGTCTATTTTAAGAACTCATATGGGCATATCAGCTAAATCCTCTATTCTTCTTTTCTCTATTGCTTGCTTACAGCAAACATACTAAATTTATAAACTTGTATTGCGTGAATTAATTACTTCCCGTGCTACGTCGTTTTAAAATGTTAAAAATGTTTTTAAAAATGTTTAATACTCCTCTACCTTACTAGCCCCTCGTTTACCACAATGTTCACACAGTCCTTTAAACACTCTTTTCCGGGTTTTTCTTTACAATACATCAGTGATCTTCCCCCCCCCCCCCTTCCCCCCCCCCCCTACCCCACCCCCTTTAGAAATTGAAAATCCACAAAAATTAAATAAGGCTTCTAGTTCGTAAAGCAAAAAGTTTTTCAAAATGAAT